CTGGAAAGCAAGGAGGGGAGAGAGTTGCTCTTGAGTTCGAATCCTGATTGCTGGCTCCCCACAGACATGGCCCCTAATCTAATCATGCGTCTATATAAGCTGCTTTCATTCATATAATTGTGGGGTATTTTTTAAGAATGCAGCCTCCTAATGTATGCATTTTTGTAGACGTTGGTTGAACTGCATTGCAAAATTGAGATGAATGGGAAACCCAATGGACCCAACTCTGTTTTGGTTCGGAAAGCACAAATTTCACATTTGAATGCAAACTGAATCAAACATCATCATCATCATCATCAATTTTATTTATACCCCGCCCTCCCCAGCCAGAGCTGGGCTCAGGGCAGCTAACACCAATAAAATCACAGTAAAAACATAATAGGGGGGAAAGAGAGGGGGGGCAGAAAAGGAAGAAAAAAACCCAATTTAAAATACAGGTTAAAATGCAATTTAAAATGCAGCCTCATTTTAAAGTAGCTGATAAATCAGCATGGTTGCCAGCATGTAGAACAGGAAGATGGGCTGTTCATTTATTCTATTTAAAATATAAACTATTTAGAATCATAGAATTGTAGAGATGGAAGGGACCTCAAGGGTCATCTAGTCCAACCCCCTGCAATGCAGGTATCACAGCTAAAGAGACCCTGACAGGTGGCCACTAAACTGCTGCTTAAAAACCTCCAATGAAAGAGAGTCCATCACCTTTTGAGGTTGTCCGTTCCGCTGTCATACAGCTCTTACCATCAGAAAGATATTCCTGATGTTTAGTCAGACTCTCCTGGCTTGTAACCGGAAGCCAAGGTTCAAATCCTACTGTCCGGGGCAGCAGAAAACAAGCTTGCTCCATCTTCCATGCAAAAGCCCTTTGGATATTTGAAGGTGGCTCTCATATCTCTTTTCCTGTTTTCCAGGCTAAACATACCCAGCTCCTTCAACCATTCCTCATCAGGCTTGGTTTCCAGACCTTGAATCATCTTGGCTGTCCTCATCTGCACACCTTCCAGCTTGTCCATATCTTCTTTAAACTGTGGTGCCCAGATCAGGACACTCGATTTTTAAAATCAATCAATTTGTCAATCAATCACAGACTGATGTGGGAATGTGGAGAATTTAAGATTGAGAAAATGAGAGAAACCAGGATGGGCATAGTTGCCTTTTCCTCCCCCCTCTTTACGCTAACCTGCCCTCCATGGAGCAACCACACCCTTTTCCAATTGCCCCTCAGAGTGTAATAGTAGTAGTAGTAATAATAATAAAATTTTATTTATATCCCACCCTCCCCAGCCAAAGCCGGGCTCAGAGCGGCTAACAGCAGCAAAAGTAACACAGTTTACATAAAATCACAATCAATTAATTGAAATGCATTCTAAAATCAATTCATTCTAAAATCAATTCAGAGTCAAATTAATGGCAACCATTGGGCTAGAGTTCTATGAGGATTACAGAAGGAGGGGGTCAGACCGAGTCCAAACCAAAGGCCAGGCGGAACAGCTCTGTCTTGCAGGCCCTGTGGAAAGATGTCAAGTCCCGCAGAGCCCTGGTCTCTTGGGACGGAGCGTTCCACCAAGTTGGGGCCAGTACTGAAAAGGCCCTGGCCCTAGTTGAGACCAATCTAACCACCTTGCAACTTGGGACCTCCAAAATGTTGTCATTTGTGGACCTTAAGGTCCTCCGTGGGACATACCAGGAGAGGCGGTCCTGTAGGTACGAGGGTCCTAGGCTGCATAGGATTTTAAAGGTCAAAACCAGCACCTTAAACCTGATCCTGTACTCCACCGGGAGCCAGTGCAGTTGGTAAAGCACTGGATGAATGTGATCCCGCGGCGAGGACCCCATAAGGAGTCTTGCCACGGCATTCTGCAACTGCTGGAGTTTCTGGGTCAGTCTCAAGGGCAGCCCCACGTAGAGTGAGTTACAATAATCAAGTCTGGTAGATAATAATAATAATAATAATAATAATAATAATAATAATAAATTTTATTTATATCCCGCCCTCCCCAGCCAAAGCCAGGCTCAGGGCGGCTAACAACAAACAAATAAACAATCAAATAATCCAACATTCTAAAACATTTCATTATAAAATTAATTAAAATCAAATTAATGGCAACCGTTAAGCAAAGTTCTGTGCAGGTTGCCGGAGGTGGGGTCAGGCTGGGCCCTGACCAAAGGCCTGGTGGAACAACTCTGTCTTGCAGGCCCTGCGGAAAGATGTCAGGTCCCGCAGGGCCCTAGTCTCTTGTGACAGAGCGTTCCACCAGATTGGAGCCGCAGCCGAGAAAGCCCTGGCTCTAGTTGAGGCCAGCCTAACCTCTCTGAGGCCTGGGACCTTCAGGATGTTTTTATTTGCAGACCGTAGGTTCCTCTGTGGGGCATACCAGGAGAGGCGGTCCCGTAGGTACGAGGGTCCTAGGCCGTATAGGGCTTTAAAGGTTAAAACCAGCACCTTAAACCTGATCCTGTACTCCACCGGGAGCCAGTGCAGCTGGTATAGTACCGGATGAATGTGATCTCGCAGCGAAGACCCCATAAGGAGTCTCGCCGCGGCATTCTGCACCCGCTGGAGTTTCTGGGTCAGTCTCAAGGGCAGCCCCACGTAGAGCGAGTTACAATAATCCAGTCTGGAGGTGACCGTCGCGTGGATCACAGTGGCTAGGTCAGGGCGAGAGAGATAAGGGGCCAACTGCTTAGCTTGGCGGAGATGAAAAATGCCGCCTTTGTTATAGCTGTAATCTGCGCCTCCATAGAGAGGGAGGTATCGAAGATTACACCCAAACTCTTAACGGACGGTGCTGGCACTAATTGCACCCCCGCAAGAGATGGGAGTTGCCCCCTCAATCCCATATCGTCCCGTCCCAGCCAGAGGACCTCTGTCTTCGAAGGATTTAACTTCAACCGGCTTCCGCGTAACCATCCAGCCACAGCTTCCAAACATCTGGTCAGTGTGTCTGGGGCCGAGTCAGGATGGCCATCCATCAACAGATAGAGTTGGGTGTCATCGGCATACTGATGGCAACCCAGCCCAAAACTCCGGACAAGCTGGGCGAGGGCGCATAAAGATGTTAAAAGCATCGGGAGAGTATCGCACCCTGAGGCACTCCACACACCAAGGAGTGGCGGGATGACAATTCCCCCAAGCGCCACCCTCTGTCCCCGACCGGAGAGAAACGAGCGCAGCCATTGAAGGACTGTGCCCTGGATCCCCACGTCGGCAAGGCGGTGGTCCAGGAGTTCGTGATCAACCATGTCGAAGGCTGCTGACAGGTCTAGAAGAATCAGCAGCCCCGACCCGCCTCGATCCAGCTGCCTGCGGAGATCATCTGTTAGGGCGACCAGAGCCGTCTCGGTCCCATGACCAGCGCGGAAGCCAGACTGGAATGGATCCAGAGCCGATGTTTCATCCAGAAACCTACCAAGCTGTTCAGCAACCGCTCTCTCAATCACCTTACCCAGGAATGGAAGATTCGAAACCGGGCGGTAATTGGATAGATCTAAGGGATCTAATGATGTTTTCTTTAAGAGCGGGCGCACCACTGCCTCCTTCAATTCCCCTGAAATATCCCGGTGCCAAGGGACAAATTGATGATATCTCCCAGGGGCCCGCACCTCGTCTGGACACGCTCTAATCAGCCAAGACGGGCACGGGTCAAGAGGACAGGTGGTGGGCTTTCCAGCTCGGAGGAGTCTGTCCACATCGGCTGGGGATATCCGATCAAAGTGGTCCAATACTGGACCCGAGGACAGTCGAGGGGCCTCCAGTTCCTTTATTGTATCCAAATTGGCAGGGAGGTCATGGCGGAGCAACAGGACCTTCTCCGCAAAAAGCTCGCAAATGCCTCACAGCTGTGTGTCAGATTGTTATTTAAATTTGGCTGTCCTTCAAGGGACGTTAAAGACCTAATTATACTAAATAATTGCGCCGGGCGAGAGCTAGCGGATGCAATGGAGGCCGAGAAGTAAGACTTCTTAGCGGCCTTCACCGCCATCTCATAGGTTTTCATAAAAACCCTATAAGATGTTCTTGAGGCTCCGTCACGGGCACCCCGCCATACTCGCTCTAGCCGTCTGAGGTCCCGCTTCATTTTCCGAAGCTCCTCGGTAAACCAGGGAGCCCGGTTTCTGCGGAGTCGCAGAGGGCGCTTAGGTGCGATCTCATCTATGGCTGCCAGGAGCTGGGTATTCCAGCCCTCAACAAGCTCAGTCAATGAGTCGCCAGGGGAGCAAGGTCCCGCAAGGCTTGACGGAATCTATCAGGGTCCATCAGCCTCTGCGGGCGAGCCCAATCGGCTCGCCACCTAAGCAGGGTGGGGGTGGAAAGTCAATCCTGGCTTTCAGAGCGTAGTGATCAGACCATGGCACCTTAATTGAAGGAGACATGATCACATCTATACCTACGCCAAAGATCAAATCCAGCGTGTGGCCTGCTTGATGTGTGGGGCCTGAAACAAACTGGGAGAGCCCTAGTGTTGCCATGGAAGACACCAGGTCCAGAGCCTGTGAGGAGGGAGTGGCATCAAGTAAATAATAATAATAATAATAATAATAATAATAATAATAATTATTGCTTTTTTTCTAGGAAAATAGGTGCCAGTACTCACCATGAAGTTGTTATAGTACGTGCCACACTTATTAACAACAAAACAAAAGAGGTGCCAATACTGCGTACCTTTGAGTACCCCCTGAAAAAACCCCCACTGATAATAATAATATTAATAATCCTACCTTTTTCCTTCATCAAAGACACAAAGTGGCTTATACCTAAAACAGAAACAGCTAAGAACATAGCTGTTAACCATTTTTTAAAAATTAAACACACACACATTTTATGAAAGTATGCAGATCATTACAATGAAAGCAGAGGAGAGATCCCACAAGCCTCCAGCTCTGAAGGCAAAAGGGTGTCCTTACGCCCATTTTATGGGAAGAGTCAATTGGCACTTATGACAGAAGCAGGCCTGGATCCATGGTGTGCATTCTGTCACCAATGGTTACTGGGTCCCTCACTCCATTCTTCTCCCTGGGGTTGACATTCCAGGCAAGAGAATGGGTCAGTGTTTAAGTCACTCCATGAAGAAAAAGGACCTGGAAGAATATCAGGTGAGCAGAGGGACAAAGAATCCCCAAACCCTCCTGTTGGTGGCTTAGGGCCCTCGTATCTACAGGACCGCCTCTCCTGGTCTGCCCCACAGAGGACCTTAAGGTCCATGAATAATCATAGTTGAGAGGTCCCTCATATTTGTGGGACTGCCTCTCCTGGTGTGCCCTGCAGAGGACCTTTGGTGTTGTTGAGTCATTTAGTCGTGTCCGCCTCTTTGTGACCCCCCTGGACCAGGGCACACCAGGCACTCCTGTCTTCCACTGCCTCCCGCAGTTGGGTCAAACTCATGCTGGTAGCTTCGAAAACACTGTCCCACCATCTCGTTCTCTGTCGTCCCCTTCTCCTTGTGCCCTCCATCTTTCCCAGCATCAGGGTCTTTTCCAGAGAGTCTTCTCTTCTCATAAGGTGGCCAAAGTCTTGGAGCCTCAGCTTCAGGATCTGTCCTTCCAGTGAGCACTCAGGGCTGGTTTCCTTAAGAATGGATCGGTTTGATCTTCTTGCAGTCCATGGGACTCTCTCTTTTTTCTTTTTAAACGATATTTATTAAGAATTTTAAAATTACAAGAAAAACAAAAAGAAAAAGAAAGAGAAAAAATAAAAGAAAAACAAACCACAATCAAGCAATACAAATTGATAAAAACCAAAATCAAAAAGTAACAACAAAACACGTAACACAAGACAATCAAAAAGCAAAAATAAACCACAAAAATTTAAAAACAAATCCAATATTCCAAAATCCTTAACTGTCATTGCCTTATTTCATCGACCTCCTCACTCCTCCCCTTTTTGTATCCTAGTTGTTAATTATCACAGCAAATCCTTTCCATTTTTCATAATATTCTGTCATTAAATTACCTTAATCTATTTTAACCTTATCTTACTATAAAAGACCCTAAAACTTAAAACTTAGATCTTATTTATACCAGTTTCTCATAACCATAACATATTCTTACATAATTCTTTTAACATTTTTGCTAAAGCCAAATGATTTCGTTCCAACATTTTTCTAACATTCAACAATTTTATAAAACAATCCTAATATTTTTTTTTTTAAAAAAAAACTTTCTTCCAATCTTCATCCAGCATCCCTTCCTCCTGGTCCCGGGTTTTGTCAGTCCTTTCTATCCCATCAATCTAGCTCATTAACCTGGTAATCTTATGTCCGAGGCCCTTAAGTCTCTTCCATGTCCCTTCCGCAGCTCTTCTTCATATTTATACCTGTACTTTACTTTGTCTCCTGCTCCTTTCACTCGTGGAAACTCCAGCTTGACAGTGTTTTTGACCCTTCTCGACAAATCAGCCCCTTTTCCATAGTCCACACTAAACTCCATGTGGTATTTAAAAACATGTTTCAAAATCCCTCCAGAATTAAGAGCCCCCACAACCCCAAACATCTCACAGCCCATTGCCAGACTTGGAAAGTCAAAACATCCCTGCATAGGGGGGTCTATCCAACCCCCCGTTTCCAAACCAAACAAAACTCTATCTCTCCAAGCCTGGCTTTTTCCAAGTTCATTTGTCAAATCCAACAACTCATGTTCCTGCTGGGCCACAGCTCCCTCCATCTCTGGCACCCAAGGTCCAGCAACATCCTCTTCCCTCATCTGATCTGTCAGAGCACACTCCTGATTTGATTCCTGGGTGGGTTCTATATAGTTACCCACTACCTGTCCAAAATTTCTGATCGCAACAGTCATCAAGTCCGTCTTCTCATGTAACTGTTCCAATAGGGCACTTGTTTTGCAGAAAGCACGCACCAGAGCTTCTGAATACATTGTTATACAAGGTCAGAAGTCTGTTCCCACGATCGTAATCTGTTGCAGCTGCAGAGCTCCCCGATTTAGATTTAGTAACAGTTTCACAGGCTCCGTCTAGGGGAAGAACTTCTATTTGATCTTTTCTTTTAAAAGTAGATCTAGCAACAAAGTTTCCTTTTTCAGATATTTTGTCAATATTTGTTCCTTTAAAATGCGAAGGAGAACGATGGAATCACTATGTTTCTCTTCTTTTAACTGTCTGTCAAAGACGTTTGTCTATGGTCAATGAACTTCCCAAAGAACGTAAGTCCTGACACCCCGCTCCCAGGTCCGAGACGGTGGAAAATTACTTTTCTTTACACTCTCTTCTGCAGGTTTAACCAGTCCGGAAAAAATCCCCCCTCTTCTCCTGCTTCCGAAGGGGGTTCAACAATTTTAAATGATGAAAGTTAATCCTTTACAAACGATTTTCTGAACTCTAGTTTGCCATGTCTTTGCTTTAATCTATCTACAAGAAACGGAAGGCTGACTTCCTGTTTAGACCTTCCCGTTTCAGTGTCAAATTGAGAAGAATTTCTTAGTCCAATTTTCCTTTCTACTCGCAGGTCATTATTTAAAGTCCAATTGTTCGAAATTGAGCTACTCACGGGTAATTGTTTTAAAAGCCAAATTGTCCCAGGAAAAAGGCAGCGCTCTCCGGCAACGGCTATGCGGCTTCGCTCCACGGAAGAAGCAGTTGACTCTCAGCACCGCGCCACTTGCCCCTCTTCGCTCCGGAGCCCGTAACTGGGTTCCTTTACGAGTTGGGGGGGCGCGAAAGGTGCCCGCCGAGTCGCAGTCCATGGGACTTTCAAGTGTCTCCCCCAGCACCATAATTCAAAAGCATCCATTCTTCGGCGATCAGCCTTCTTTATGGACCAGCTCTCACTTCCATACATCACTACTGGGAAAATCAGAGCTTTAACCATATGGACCGCCTCTCCTGGTTTGCCCTGCAGAGGACCTTAAGGTCCATGAATAATCATAGTTTATAGGTCCTGGGCTCTAAGGAAGTCAGACTATCCTCCACCAGGGCCAGGGCCTTCTCAGTGATGGCTCCGACCTGGTGGAACACTCTGTCCCATGAGACCAGGGCCCTGCAGGATTTAACCTCCTTCCACAAGGCCTGTAAGACAAAGCTATTCTGCCTGGCTTTTAATTTGAATTCAGCCTGATCTTTTATTTCCCTTCTCTTCTCTTCCCTCCCCCTCCCCTTTTATGAAGATCACCCGCTCTGAGACGCCACAGCTAATTCTCCCCTGGTCTCCTCGCTGGCCCAAGTAGGACTAATTCAGCCAGCTAGCCCTGGGGATTATCTAATGCTTATTTCCCCTAACTTGATTTTTGAATTTTATTGTTATTCATGTTTTTATTCTGTATTTTATGCTGTTTTTATAATTAAGTGTTTTAAATTTGTTGTTAGCCACCCTGAGCCCGGTTTTTGAACCGGGAAGGGTGGGGTATAAAAATAAATTATTATTATTATTACTTATTATTGTCACTTGTCCCAGACAGATATTTGGTGTTGTCCGTGAAGCAAAACAACACCCCTGTGGTCTGCGTTGTTATATTTGATCCGCTATCATATTTGTATACATGGCTCCCTTCCTCTCCAGTTTATCCTCACAACGATCCTGTGAGGACGAAAGAGGCAGTGACTGGCCCTATGAGCTTCCTGTTTGAATGGGGACATGCACCCTGGTCTCCCAGGTCTCTAACTGCTATGCCACACTGCTTATGCCGGCCACGATCCTGGCCAAAAGCAAAGGATCGCACCCTATGTCTGGCAGGATAGGTCCTGTCTGTGAGTGTGGGTCACATCCAGGCCTTTGAGCAACCTTCCCCAAGATGGTGCCCTCCAGGCATTTCGGACCACCACTCCCATCAGTGGTGTGGCATAGTGGTTAGAGACTGTGATCGGATGGGAGTGAGTGGTGGTCATAGCTGTCAATTTACAGATTTGAAAATAAGGGACCAGCAGCCTCGAAAATAAGGGATCAGCAGCCAAAATAAGGGATTTTCCGGGCACAGGTATGTTCGACTTCTGAGCCCCTCCGAGCCAAAGGCAGAAAGCCCATCCAGCAGCCAAACAAAGCCTCAAGTGGTGGTTCCCACAGCGCAGCAACCCGGCAAAGGGGATGCAGCAAGGAAAACCACCGTCTCCTCTCCGCTGGGAAGCGCTGAGCAAAGGCGAGTCCCCAGGCAACGCAGCCGATTTGATCGGCACAAGGCATGCAAGCTCCACCCCCCAGTCGTTCTTAGACTCCTTATTGGGTGAGCAATGCAGCCTAGCAACACAGTTGGAGCCTCCCTCCTCCCTGGCCGGCAGGGAGGGAGGGAGAGGAGCTGCTTCCTTTGAAACCCGGGAAATTTAAGGGACATCATCAGTAAGGGACAGCAGCGGGACACGGCGCTGGGATAAGGGACTTTCCCGCCAAATAAGGGACGGTTGACAGCTATGGTGGTGGTCCATAAATGTCTGATTTATGGGGACAGCTGACTGCCATCCCCATGGCAACAGCAACATGGATGTTTTCTTGCTTTCCTTGACACCTTGCGGAAGATGTGCACGCTACCTTGCACCACCTGACTTTTCGCTCACTCTTCAACAGAGACCCTTCAAGTCCCTCCAAGCAATATCTACAGATCTTGCTTGTTGGTGCTTTAGTTGAGATTCCTGCATTTGCAGCAGGTTGGACTAGATGATCCTGTGGGTTCCTCCACAGTTCAATGATTCTATTTTAACTCCCCTGAAAAATGTTCGGGAGTATTGATCTCAGAAAAGCCCCTAAATTAGTCTCACATTTGTCTTGGGGGTGGGGAATGAGGCAGTTTCCACCAATTAATCACCTTAGCTGATTAGTCAGCTGCCTTAATTGGTTAATTCATTGCCTGTGTGTAATTAAGCTTGCAGGCTGTGAAAACTTCAGTGTAGGCTCCCTTCTGAGATATTCAAGGAAGTGTGAATTGATGTACTGGCCAATAAACCAAAGCTATCACTCAGAGTTGGAAAGAAAGCACTGTCTAGTATTTCCTTTCTCATTCTTTAACACAGAAAAAAAAACCACCAGGACATAGCAGCCTTAAAAATATTAAAAGCAAAGGTAAGCCATCCTGGTCCAAATTTAAAACAATTCCAAAATCCACTGCAGGGTAATGCAGTTATTGTCATTTTGGTTGATCCCAATGCAAGCCATGACTCAATTCTGGAGTTTTAAACATTGCATTTTATCTCAGCTCTGCAACCATTGGGAATTTTTTTTTACACTAGATATTCATCATTCTCGAATGAAGAAAGTTTGCAGCATTTGAGACTTTAGAGAAAAGGCGAGTAAGAAGGAGACATGATAGAAGTTCATAAAATTAGGCATGGCATGGAGGGAGTGGATAGATAAAAAATTCTCCCATAGCACTTGGAACTTGTAGACACTCAGTGAAGCTGAATGTTGAAAGGTTCAGGACAGATACAGTCGTACCTTGGTTCCTGAACGCTGCAAACCCGGAAGTGTCTGTTCCGGTTTGCGAACGTTCTTTGGAACCCGAACGTCCGACGGGGCTTCTGATTGGCTGCAGGAGCTTCCTGCAGCCAGTCAGAAGACGTGCTTTGGTTTCCAAATGTTTTGGAAGTGAGCGGACTTCCAGAACGGATTCTGTTTGACTTCCAAGGTACGACTGTAAAAGGAAGGACTTATTCATGGCATGTGGAGTTAAATGATGGAGCTTGCTGCCACTGGAGGCGGGGATGACCACCAACCTAGATGGTAATAATACTAATACTAATACTAATACTAATACTAATACTAATGATACTACAGTGGTACCTTGGGTTACATACGCTTCAGGTTACAGACTCCGCTAACTCAGAAATAGTACCTCGGGTTAAGAACTTTGCTTCAGGATGAGAACAGAAATCGTGCTCCGGCGTTGCGGCGGCAGCGGGAGGCCTCATTAGCTAAAGTGATGCTTCAGGTTAAGAACAGTTTCAGGTTAAGAACGGACCTCTGGAATGAATTAAGTACTTAACACGAGGTACCACTGTAATAATATTTATACCACTCCCATCTAGCTGGGTTTCCCCAGCCACCCTGGGCAGCTCCCAACGATTATTAAAAACACATTAAACCGACAAACATTAAAAACTTCCCTATAGCTTCAGATGTCTTCTAAAAGTCAGGTAGTTGTTTATTTCCTTGACATCTGGTGGGAGGGCGTTCCACAGAGCGGGCGCCACCACCAAGAAGGCCCTCTGCCTGGTTCCCTGTAATCTCACTTCTCGCAATGAGGGAACTGCCAGAAAGCCCTCAGAGCTGGACCTTAGTGTCCAGGCAGAACGATGGGGGTGGAGATGACTACTAGCCACGATGTCTAAGCCCTGGATCCACAGCTGAAGGCAGCAATGCTTTGAAATCCCACCCACTCTGAAGACTTCGGCAGGTATCCCATCAGGTCCTCTGGCTTGGTTGTTTTTCATTTGGTTAATAGCTGTACACAACTCTCATTGTTAAAACTGGCCTAGGACCCTCGTACCTACAGGACCGCCTCTCCTGGTATGTCCCACGGATGACCTTACAGTCTTCAAACAAAAACATCTTGGAGGTCCCGGGCCACAGAGAGGTTAGGCTGGCCTCAACCAGAGCCAGGGCTTTTTCGGCTGTGGCCCCGATCTGGTGGAATGCTCTGTCCCAAGAGACTAGGGCCCTGCGGGACTTGACATCTTTCCGCAGAGCCTGCAAGACAGAGCTGCTCCACCAGGCCTTTGACAATCCTCACAGAACTCTAGCCGAATGGTTGCCATTAATTTGATTTTGAATTGATTTTAGAATGAATTGATTTTAGAATGCTGTGTCACTTTTATTGTTGTTAGCCGCTCTGAGCCCGGCTTCGGCTGGGGAGGGCGGGATATAAATAAATTATTATTATTATTATTATTATTACTACTACTATTATGAAAGACAGTCTTACTGGGCTACAAGTGATTGCCAAAGAAGAAGAGGAGGAGGAGGAGGAGGAGGAGGAGGAGGAGGAGGAGGAGGAGGAAGCTGCTTCTAAATATAGTGGTACCTCAGGTTAAGTACTTAATTTGTTCTGGAGGTCCGTACTTAACCTGAAACTGTTCTTAACCTGAAGCACCACTTTAGCTAATGGGGCCTCCTGCTGCTGCTGCACTGCCGGAGCAAGATTTCTGTTCTCATCCTGAAGCAAAGTTCTTAACCTGAAGCACTATTTCTGGGTTAGTGGAGTCTGTAACCTGAAGCGTATGTAACCTGAGGTACCACTGTACCTGTAGCTAGAAATCACTGAAGAGGAGGGTGCTCTTATGCTCGAATCCTGCTTTTGGGTTTCCCATTGAGGGATGCGGCTGGCCATTGTGAGAACAGAATTCTCTTGTCACCTTCTTATGTTCTTGCGATGTGGATTTTATAACATGAGCTGGGTGCTCATGTAAAGACATGAACAGTATTTTCTGCTCCTTCAGTATTTCTGCACCTACTGTACAATTCCTAATAAAAAGTCCAATATATGGTTCATGGTGTTGCATTATCTCTCCCGCAGGTGCTGACATTTCTTACCAAGGGGGAGATCCTACGGTGAGTGCATCTCTGTTTTGGCTCCTAGCTGCTCTCCGGTCCTGCTATTTATGTACAGGCATCTTGAGTTCACCCCATACATTTAAACAGTGATGACTTTCCCCAAAGAATCCCGAGAATTGTAGTTTGTTAAGGGTACTGAGAGTTGTTAAAAAGGTAAAGGACCCCTGACTGTTAAGTCCAGTCGCAAACGATTCTGAGGTTGCAGCACTCATCTCGCTTTATTGGCCGAGGGAGCCGGCGTACAGCTTCCGGGTCATGTGGCCAGCAGGACTAAGCCACTTCTGGTGAACCAGAGCAGCGCATAGAAACACCGTTTACCTTCCCGCCGGAGCGGTACCTATTTATCTACTTGCACTTTGACGTGCTTTTGAACTGCTAGGTTGGCAGGAGCTGGGACCGAGCAACGGGAGCTCACCCCGTCACGGGGATTCGAACCGCCGACCTTCTGATCGGCAGGTACTAGGCTCTGTGGTTTAACCCACAGCGCCACCCGCGACCCTTATCCCTCTTGCAGAGCTTTTTTTAAAAATACTAATTTTTATTTGGTTTTACAAATTAATGTTTACATTCCAAATCACAAATAAAAACAGACACACAAGATTCTCTTGAATCTTTTGACTTCCCTCCACCACTCCATGGGTTCAGTACTTGTCCTTTTTTATATGTCACTCCAATTATTTGATTGTCCATTATATCCAAAGTCCTTGTTACATTACAAGTGTTATTTGAGTCCTCCTAAAAAGTGGGCTTCCCAGAGGCATCCGGTTGGGCCACTGTGAGAACAGGATGCTATATTAGATGGGCAACTGGCCTGATCCAACAGGCTCTTCTTAAGCTATTATGGTACAGTGGTACCTTGGTTCTGGAAGTCCGTTCCAAAACCAAAGCGTTCCAAAACCAAGGCGTGCTTTCCCATAGAAAGTAAGGCACAATGGATTAATCCTTTCCATTTTAAAACAACCCCTCAAACAGCAATGCAACATGAATTTTACAATCTAACGAGACCATTGATCCATAAAATGAAAGCGATAAACAGTGTACTGCAGTCACACCATCAATCAATCAATCAATCAGTAGCAGAACTGGGTTCCACACAGTCACAAAAAGAGCTGCAAAAACAAAAACGCAAAATAAATATCAAATAACAATCAAAGCAGAAGTGTAGCACTCAAATTGGAAGTGCAACACTAAAAATGGAGCACATTCAGCTTCTGAAAAAAGCTCACAAACCGGAACACTTACTTCTGGGTTTGCAGTGTTTTGGTTCCAAGTTGTTTGAGAACCAAGGTACCACTGTATTTTCTTAAGGAGCCTTGATGGTGCAAGCCCAGCCCAGCCAACAGCCTGCCCTTTTCCTTCGCTTTCAGAATCTATGATGCTTTCTGCAGTGACTGCCCTCAAGGAAAGGACTATAGACAGGAGAAACTCACCTCAGATCAGGTCTCCACCTGGCCCCAGCTGAAGGTAAGCCTGCCAGCGAGATGGGAGTGTGACCTTCCCAGAGTGGTGTAGTGGTTAAGAGCGGTGGACTCGTAATCTGGTGAACCGGGTTCGCTTCCCTGCTCCTCCACCTGCAGCTACTGGGTGACCTTGGGCCAGTCACACTTCTCTGAAGTCTCTCAGCCCCACTCACCCCACAGAGTGTTTGTTGTGGGGCAGGAAGGGAAAGGAGAATGTTAGCCGCTTTGAGACTCCTTAGGGTAGTGATAAAGCGGGATATCAAATCAGATGTCAAGGAAATAAACAATTATCGTATTTTTCGCACCGGCCCATAGGACGCACCTAGTTTTTTGGGGGGGAAATAAAGAAAAAAAAATTATTTCCCCTCCCCCCAGGTGCGGGGCTGGGGCGGGGGAAGCCCGAGCTTCCCCCGACCCCAGCCCCCAGAACAGGCTGCTATCCCACGTAGAGCTAGCGTAGAGCTGCGCGAAGCCCGAAGCTTGGGGCGTGCTGAGCTCAGCGAGCCCCAAGCTTCTGGGTGCTGGCAAGCTCTCCGCTAGCCGTGGGAGAGCTGCGTCTCCCACGGCTAGTGGATAGCTTCCTGAAGCCTGGAGAGCGAGAGGAGTCGATGCGCACAGACCCCCCTCGCTCTCCAGGCTTCAGCCTCATTTTTGGAGGGGAAAATGTGCGTCCTAAAGGGCGAAAAATACGGTACCTGACATTTAGAAGACATCTGAAGGCAGCCCTGTTCAGGGAAGTTTTTAATGTGTGACATTTTAATGTATTTTTAATCTTTGTTGGAAGCCACCCAGAGTGGTGGGGAAACCCAGCCAGATGGGCGGGGTACAAATAATAAATTATAATAATATTATTATTATTGAATCCCAGACATTATGCAATGTTTGCATTGGTTACAAAGCCTTTTCACTTGCTGCCTCCCAACCCAAGCGCTCATGTACAAACTCCAACTTCCTTCAAAAATCCAACACTTTTAATTAACTTGAAGCTCCCAGCCATCCTGGGGTGACTGCACAAATAAGAAGGAGCCTGTGCCTTCTTCTTAACAAACTCTCACTTCATTACTTTCTCCTCGGTGCACAGAGCAGCCCCGGAAGGCAATTTGGGGATGGGGCAGGTCTGCTAAGCAAACCTTTCCATTCATTTGCCCATCCTCTGAGTTGGGACCTGGCATTTGCCTGCCCTGCTACAAACTGACCTCTTCGTGGATTCTCTTTAAGTTGCAATGCACTCCTCGGATGTTTAAGCATATCAAAATAAGCTCTGAAAGGTGTACTTTTCAGAGGAAAATATATCTAGAAACGTGTCAGAAAAATAAAAATTTTTTAAAAAGCTTTCAGAATGCAGATTTAAATGCAGATTTTTCAAAACTGATCGTTGCAGGTAATAATAATAATAATAATAATAATAATAATAATAATAATAATATTTATACCCCGTCCATCTGGCTGGGTTTCCCCACCACTCTGGGCGGCTCCCAACAGAATATTAAAAGCACAATAAAACATCAAACATAAAAAACTTCCCGAAACAGGGCTGCATTCAGATATCTTCTAAAAGTCAGGTAGTTGTTTACAGTGGTACTTCGGGTTACATATGCTTCAGGTTACATATGCTTCAGGTTGCAGACTCCGCTAACCCAGAAATAGTACCTCGGGTTGAGAACTTTGCTTCCACTGTATTTCCTTGACATCTGGTGAGAGAGCGTTCCACAGGGCAGGTGGCACCACTGAGAAGGCCCTCTGCCTGGTTCCATGTAACTTGGCTTCTCGCAGTGAGGGAACTGCCAGAGGGCCCTTGGCACTGGACCTCAGGGTCCGGGCTGAATGATGGGGGTGGAGACGCTCCTTCAGGGATACTGGGCCAAGGCTTTTTGGGGCTTTCAAGGTTAGCACCAAGACTTTGAATTGTGCTCGGAAACGTCCTGGGAGCCAGTGTAGGTCTTTCAGGACCGGTGTTATATGGTCTTGGCGGCTGCTCCCAGTCACCAGTCTTGCTGCCGCATTCTGGATTAGTTGTAGTTTCCGGGTCACCTTCCAAGGTAGCCCCACATAGAGCGCATTGCAGTAGTCCTAGCAGGCGATAACCAGAGCATGCACCACTCTGGCCAGACAGTCGGTGACACTGATGGGAGGAAGATACCAAGTGGCGGCAGCTCTGCCACTCAAACACCACGACTGGTTTACCTCAGTGGCGTTTGATTGGCAGAGCCGCTGCCACTTGGCCTCTTCCTTCTGCCGCCATTGTCTTGGCTTTGCGGCTAGTTGCAGCTTCACGGTGTGGGCCGGATTTAGGACCCAGGTGGGCCTGATCCGGCCCGGGGACCGTAGCTTGCTGACCCCTGGAATAGAATCATAAAACTGTAGAGTTGGAAGGGACCCAAATGGTCTTTATTATTATTTATTATATTTATTGAATTTATTTACCGCCCTATACCCAGAGGTACAATCAAAATCACAATACATAACATCAAAAATGAAAATAATCCAAGGGTATAAGATGTTGATCGGTCAAACAAAGGCCTGGTTAAAAAGGAACGTTTTTGCCTGGCGCCCAAAGGTGTATAATGAAGGTGCCAGGTGAATTTCCCTGGGGAGAGCATTCCGGGGAGCCACTGCAGAGAAGGCCCTGCTCTCGTGTTGCCACCCTTCAGACCTCTCGAGGAGGAGGCACGCGAAGGAGGGCCTCAGAAGATGATCTCAGGGTCTGGGTAGATTCATATGGCAAGAGGTGGTCCTTGAGGTATTGGGGTTCTGAGCCATTTAAGGCTTTATAGGTCAAAACCATCACTTTGAATTGGACCTGGAAACTAATCGGTAGCCAGTGCAGTTGGACCAGGATCTGTGTCATATGCTCAAACTGTCTTGCTCCGCTGAGCAATCTAGCTGTTGAATTTTGCACCAGCTGAAGTTTCTAGTCGACCCCTTGCAATGCAGTAGGTGGTTGTTCTGTCCCAGTCCCATGGGGTTCTAGCCCAAAAAGGACATCCTAGGCAAGGGATTTGGTTCAACATGACAAGCCAGGCAAGGAAAGCAAAGTCTCCAGAAACTTTTCTGCAGCATCAGGAAATGCAGGTGAACCTCTGCTAGGATACAACACTCTCCCCCCTAAAAAAATAATGTTGTTCTTGTTTAGTTGTTTAGTTGTGTCTGACTCTTCGTGGCCCCCTGGACCAGAGCATGCCAGGCCCTCCTGTCTTCCACTGTTTGGTCAAACTCGTGCTGGTAGCTTCGAGAACACTATCCAACCATCTCATCCTCTGTCGTCCCCTTCTCCTTGTGCCCTCCATCTTTCCCAACATCAGGGTCTTTTCAGGAGTCTTCTCTTCTCATGAGGTGGCCAAATTATTGGAGCCTCAGCTTCAGGATCTGTCCTTCCAGTGAGCACTCAGGGCTGATTTCCTTCAGAATGGAGAGGTTGGATTTTCTTGCAGTCCATGGGACTCTCCAGAGTCTCCTCCAGCACCAGAATTCAAAAGCATCCATTCTTCGGCGATCAGCCTTCTTTATGGTCCAGCTCTCACTTCCATACATCACTACTGGGAAAACCAGAGCTTGAACTATACGGACCTTTGTTGGCGAAATAATATCTTTGCATTTAAGGCAAGACTCCCCCCTGCAAGACAATAGCGGAGACGGCCACAAAGGCAGCGAGTGCTAATTGCGCCTCCTGATCCACAACTCAGGCCTGTTTCACCAGAGCCCATGCAAGTCATGTTTAAAGATTCAGGCACTGCGGGGTTTAATTAAAACCCGGGAAATAAATATATTTAGCCACACTGTCAATTTGGATTACAGCGAGCATGTTTACATTTTTTTGCACATTTAATTAACGCTATTTGCATAGGAGGACGCAGGAGGAGGCGATCGGCATTTGTTGAAGCAGACTCCTCGCAAATGGGAAATGCGATCCCACTCCTCTGAAAATATCACAGGGCTGGGGTGATATTTAGGATATTTAGGATAGCTGGTGCAAAGGGACAATTTAAAGCTGTCCCACCATGCACACACAAACACACACACACACACACACACACACACACACACACACACACAGAGCACTCCAGAAACACCATTGCTATGTCTTGATGGCACTTAAGAACCAAGAATGTTAGAACAAAAGAGGATTAGACAGATTCACAGAGGCAGCGATGCTTCTGAACCACAATTGCTGGAAACCTCAGGAGGTGAGAGTTGCTCTTGTGTTTGAGTCCTGCTTGCCAGTTTCCCATTGAGGCATCTGGGTGGCCACTGTGAGAACAGGACACTGGACTAGCTGGGCCACAGAATTTTAGAATAGGAAGAGACCCTGAGGGTCATCTAGTCCCACCCTCTGCACTGCAGGAATCTCAGCTAAAGCAGCCATGAGAGATGGCCCTCCAACCTCTGCTGAAATCAGGGGTAGGCAACCTAAGGCCCGGGGGCCGGATCCAGCCCAATCACCTTCTTAATCCGGCCCTTGGACGGTCCGGGAATCAGCGTATTTTTACATGAGTAGAATGTGTCCTTTTATTTAAAATGCATCTCTGGGTTATTTGTGGGGCCTGCCTGGTGTTTTTACATGAGTAGAATGGTGCTGGAGGAGACTCTTGAGAGTCCCATGGACTGCAAGAAGATCCAACCTCTCCATTCTGAAGGAAATCAGCCCTGAGTGCTCACTGGAAGGACAGATCGTGAAGCTGAGGCTCCAAGACTTTGGCCACCTCATGAGAAGAGAAGACTCCCTGGAAAAGACCCTGATGTTGGGAAAGATGGAGGGCACAAGGAGAAGGGGATGACAGAGGACGAGATGGTGGGGCAGTGTTCTCGAAGCTACCAGCATGAGTTTGACCAAACTGCGGGAGGCAGTGGAAGACGTGCTCTGGTCCAGGGGGTCATGAAGAATCGGACATGACTAAACAACTAAACAACAAAGAATGTGTCCTTTTATTTAAAATACATCTCTGGGTTATTTGTGGGGCATAGGAATTCGCTCATTTTTTTCATCAAAATATAGTCTGGCCCCCCGCAAGGTCTGAGGGACAGTGGACCGGCTCCCTGCTGAAAAAGTTTGCTGACCCCTGGCTTAAATACTTCCAAGGAAGGAGAGTCCACCAAAAAAAGTCCAGAGGGAGTTCGTTCCACTGTTGAACAGCTCTTGCCATCAGAAAGTTCTTCCTGGTGTTATTTGGGATCACTTTTATTGTAACTTAGGGATGCGGGTGGCGCTGTGGGTTAAACCACTGAGCCTAGGGCTTGGCGATCAGAAGGTTGGCGGTTCGAATCCCTGTGACGGGGTGAGTTCCCGTTGCTCGGTCCCAGCTCCTGCCAACCTAGCAGTTCGAAAGAACGTCAAAGTACAAGTAGATAAATAGGTACCTTCCGACAGGAAGGTAAACGGCGTTTCCATGCGCTGCTCTGGTTCGCCAGAAGCGGCTTAGTCATGCTGGCCACATGACCCAGGAGCTGTACGCTGGCTCCCTTGGCCAATAAAGGGGGATGAGCGCCGCAACCGCAGAATTGGCCATGACTGGACCTAATGGTCAGGGGTCCCTTTACCTTTATTGTAACTTGAAGCCTTTGTTTTGGATCCTACTCTTCAGAGCAGGAGAAAACAAGCTTGTCCCCTCTTGCACGGGGCAGATATTTGAAGATGGCTCTCATTATCTTCTCTCAGTCATCTCTTTCCCAGGCTAAACATCCCCAGCTCCTTCAACTGTTCCTCATCAGGCTTGGTTTCTAGACCCCTGGTCACCTTAGCTGCCCTCCTCTGCACACCTTGCCAATATCCTTATTAAATTGTGGTGGACACAGGACTCCAGATGGGGTCTGACCAAGGCAGAATAGAGCGGTAGTTTTATGTCACTTTGTGTGACTGCCGTACTGTTGATGCAGCCTAGAGATATTTGATGCTGCCTCTGATAGCACAGAAGTGTGGGTCCATCTGAGGTCGTCATGGGGGTGTGAGACATTCGCTAAGCATCTGTAGCACCCGAAAACATTGCTGGCAGAAATAGCACCTTAATTTGGAGGCAGGGCAGAGGGGAGAGAGAGGGATGCAATTGTTCTGCTTTTGCAGAGAGAGAAGAATGTCACCTTGTATTTGCAAAGCAACCGACACAAAAGAGAGTTTGCTTTTGTTGCACAGTTCACAAGCCTTTAAGCTCGCTGCTTTCCAACCCAATGCTCGCTGCTGAATTTCTAAATAAGGATCACTGGGATGTTTTTGGCCACCGCTAAGAGACGTGGCTGTCAGGGAGAGAAATGATGGCACGCAGGGATGCTGAACATGGCTGGGATGATTAATTCCCTCTCCTCGAGGGCTGCCTTGCAAAGAGCTCCGTGAGAGATCCGGCAAGCGATGTTCGACATGGTGCCATTTGGCAGCAGACAGCCTTGTCAGGATCCCTGCGCTGCACTATCAGGAGAGTGCCGCTGCGTTCGCTCAGATGCGCAGATAATCCCAGGGAGCTCTTGAGGAGCTGGCAAATTTAACTGTGCCGCTTACCACTGCCTTTGCCTTGCGGCTTCTGGAGGTTTCTGGCAGCACAGAGGGAGAGAGAAGGACATGAGAGCCTGCTGGATCAGGTCCATGGCAGATCTCTAGCTCAGCATCCTGTTACATAAGAACTTGAGAAGAACTTGCAGGATTAGGCCCATGGACACCCTCAGTGACTGTTTTCGACCTCCATAGTTGGAGCCAGTGTGGTGTAGTGGTTAAGAGCGGTAGACCCGTAATCTGGGGAACCGGGTTCGCTTCCCCGCTCCTCCACATGCAGTTGCTGGGTGACCTTGGGCCAGTCACACTTCTCTGAAGTCTCTCAGCCTCACTCACCTCACAGAGTGTTTGTTGTAGGGAAGGAAGGGAAAGGAGAACGTTAGCCACTTTGAGACTCCTTTGGGTAGTGATAAAGCGGGATATCAAATCCAAACTCCTCCTCCTCCTCCTCCTCCTCCTCCTCTTCTCTTCTTCCTCTTCTACAATTCTATGATTCTACAATCTCTAGAATGACCTCAGATGGATCCACATTCCTGTGCACTGGGAGAAAGCATTGGATCACTGACAGCTGAATAAACAAAATTGTATACTATTTACTTGTTCTTGAGTCGTTTAGTGGTGTCCGACTCTTCGTGACCCCCTGGACCAGAGCATTCCAGGCACTCCTGTCTTCCACTGCCTCCCGCAGTTTGGTCAAACTCATGCTGGTAGCTTCGAGAACACTGTCCCACCATCTCGTCCTCAGTCCTCCCCTTCTCCTTGTGCCCTCCATCTTTCCCAACATCAGGGTCTTTTCCAGGGAGTCTTCTCTTCTCATGAGGTGGCCAAAGTCTTGGAGCCTCAGCTTCAGGATCTGTCCTTCCAGGGAGCACTCAGGGCTGCTTTCATTCAGAATGGAGAGGTTTGCTCTTCTTGCAGTCCATGGGACTCTCAAGAGTCTCCTCCAGCATCAGAATTCAAAAGCATCAATTCTTTGGCGATCAGCCTTCTTTATGGTCCAGCTCTCACTTCCATACATCACTACTGGGGAAATCATGGCTTTAACTCTACGGACCTTTGTTGGCAAGGTGATGTCTCTGCTTTTTAAGATGCTGTCTAGGTTTGTCATCGCCTTTCTCCCAAGGAGCAGGCGTCTTTTAATTTCGTGACTGCTGTCACCATCTGCAGTGATCATGGAGCCCAAGAAAGTAAAATCTCTCACTGCCTCCATTTCTTCCCCTTCTATTTGCCAGGAAGTGATGGGACCAGTGGCCATGATCTTAGTTTCTTTGATGTTGAGCTTCAGACCATATTTTGCGCTCTCCTCCTCTTTCACCCTCATTAAAAGGTTCTTTAATTCCTCTTCACTTTCTGCCATCAAGGTTTTGTCATCTGCATATCTGAGGTTGTTGATATTTCTTCTGGCAATCTTAATTCCGGTTTGGGATTTATTTCATAAAATTTATACACCACTTGATTGTAAAAAACAACAACAACCCTCAAACAGTTTTCAAAAAGGCTAAAGCAGTAAAATAATCAAGCAACAAAGTAATAGCTATGATTTAAGACTTTCCGGAGGTTAGGAATAAGAGTAGATTAAAAGCGGATAAAAACTCGCATCGACTTTCTAAAAATCTGGATAGGCTTGCCAAAACAAAAATGTTTATAGCAGGCACTGAAGAGAGAACAGTGATGGCTCCTGCCCAACATCACTAGGCAGGGAGTTCCAAAGTGTAGGTGCTGCCACTGTAAAAAATCAAATTCTAAGAAATGTAGAATGGGTATTTCATGGCACCTGTGAGACCCTGATCAAAGGTGCCAATTAGAACAATCTTCACCAGCCTGGTGCCCTTCAGAGTTTTGGGGGCAACGTCTTCCATCGGTACAACCAGCTGTGCTAAACATAGAGACAGGAATCTCCATCCCTCTCAACCCCTCTGATTCAAGTTGCCCTCCTGGCTAACAGTTTCACAAGGAACTGTTGTGTACTGAAGTTCTCACCCTGGGCCAGCAGGGGGATACTGTAGATAGTTATGCCAATGAAGGATCGAAAGTGACGTTCAGTGATTGGATAGTTTTAGAAAGTTGCAGCAATTACGTTGTTCTGGAGCTCTATATAAGCAGGCTGACTGGGCTCTTCAGTTCAGTTCTATTCTGGCCTCTGAATAAACAAGAGCTGTTGAAGAATCACTGTGTCGTCTGATATGTTCGCCCACAACTTAACACTGGCGACGAAGGTTGGATTGATGGACATCAGAGCACAGCCAGACTCGGCCATCCTCTGAACTGAACTGAGCTGAATCACTGAGCTGAAACACTGAGTGAAAACTGTCCAATGACTGAACGTCACTTTCGATCCTTCATTTGCATAACTATCTACAGTATCCCCCTGCTGGCCCAGGGTGAGAACACAACAGGAACAAATCCCCTTTCATTGATTAATTGCTTTAATAGACAAGCAACTAAAGGCTGCAGCTCTTCTCTTGCTTTTACAAGTTGAAATAATTACCAGGGTTGTTCTAGGTGAGGGGGTCATTGGCAGGGTCCACATATACAGTGGTACCTTGGTTCTCAAACGCCTTGGTTCCCAAACACCGAAAACCCGGAAGTAAGTGTTCTGGTTTCCAAATGTTTTTTGGAAGCTGAACATCCGATGCAGTTGTCGGCTATTGTTTCTGGGGCGCCTGCACCAATCAGAAGCTGCGCCTTGGTTTTTGAACATTTTGGAAGCCAAACGGACTTCCAGAACAGATTAAGTTTGTCGCTTTTCTTTTTGCTATTTATTTTGCGTTTTTGTTTTGGAGGCTTTTTCAGTTAATTTGTTTTTGTGACTATGTGGAACCCAGTTCAGCTACTGACTGACTGTGTGACAGCAGAAATGGATAAAAGCCCTCCATCCAAACGATGACTTTCATCAGTGCAGGTAAGAAAAATATTTAATTTTAATTTTTATCACCTACAATACTGCCTTATTTATTTTATAGTACACTGATTATTGCTTTCATTTTATGGATCAATGGTCTCATTAGATAGTAAAATCCATGTTAAATTGCTGTTTTAGGGGTTGTTTTTAGAAGTCTGGAACAGATTAATCCATTTTGCATTACTTTCTATGGGAAAGCGCACCTTGGTTTTGGAACACTTTGGACTTGTGGAACGGATAAGTTTGAGAACCAAGGTACCATACCACTGTAATAGAAAACTGCCACTCCAAAGGTCCTGTGAATCTGCATAGGACTGAGCAACATAGAAGCTACTCCTGGTGCTGCAAACTCTGGACCAGATGTCACAAGAACACAAGAAGAGCTTGCTGGATGAGGCCAATATCCCATCTGGACCAGCATCCTGTTCTCACCATGGCCAAACATGTTGTTGTTTTTTAGTCGTTTAGTCGTGTCCGACTCTTTGTGACCCCCTGGGCCAGAGCACGCCAGGCACTTCTGTCTTCCACTGCCTCCCACAGTTTGGTCAAACTCACGTTAGTAGCTTTGAGAACACTGTCCCACCATCTCGTCCTCCATCATCCCCTTCTCCTTGTGCCCTCCATCTTTCCCAACATCAGGGTCTTTTCCAGGGAATCTTCTCTTCTCATGAGGTAGCCAAAGTCTTGGAGCCTCAGCTTCAGGATCTGTCCTTCCAGTGACCACTCAGGGCTGATTTCCCTAAGAATGTAAAAGTTTGATCTTCTTGCAGTCCATGGGACTCTCCAGAGTCTCCTCCAGCACCATAATTCAAAAGCATCCATTCTTTGGTGATCAGCCTTTTTTATGGTCCAGCTCTCACTTCCATATATCACTACTAGAGGTTGTTAAACAGAGGTTGGCTGTCTATCCATTGGGGATTCTTTAGCTGAGATTCCTGCAATTCAGGAGGTTACACTAGATGAACATTTTGGGTCCCTTCCAACTCTGCCATTCTACGATTCTATTTATTAAAAACAACAACAAGAAGAAGCCCAAAGCCTGCCATCTATTTGTGTTTGTTGACACGGCTCGCGAGTGTCAAAAGGCGACACTGAAAATAGCCGGCTTCTGCGACGCAGCCTAATTAGGGAGGGAGGTTCAGTACAAAAGCAAGGAAGACGCTTTGCAATGTTTTCGGAGAGGGAAACAGCCGCATCTTAATGAGCCTGCTTTTTTTGCTGCCGAATCCTGGCACGGTAATGGGCCAAACAGCGCCTGCTCTGAAAATTAGAGGGTGCGTTTTCCACAGGGCAGGTATAAATTTAAATCCGCAATCTGCGTATGGAGTGTCAGCTGGCTGACGCCTTTCGAGCAGGAAGGAAGAGCAGAAGTCATCTAAATAACTGCCTGGCTTTTATTAATGTTGTTGTTTAGTTGTTTAGTCGTGTCCGCCTCTTCATGACCCCCTGGACCAGAGCACAGCCTGGAGAAGAGGAGGTTAAGAGGTGATATGATAGCCATGTTCAAATATATAAAAGGATGTCACATAGAGGAGGGAGAACGGTTGTTTTCTGCTGCTCCAGAGAAGCGGACACGGAGCAATGGATCCAAACTACAAGAAAGAAGATTCCACCTAAACATTAGGAAGAACTTCCTGACAGTGAGAGCTGTTCGACAGTGGAATTTGCTGCCAGGGAGTGTGGTGGAGTCTCCTTCTTTGGAGGTCTTTAAGCAGAGGCTTGACAACCATATGTCAGGAGTGCTCTGATGGTGTTTCCTGCTTGGCAGGGGGTTGGACTCGATGGCCCTTGTGGTCTCTTCCAACTCTATGATTCTATGAGTCTATGATTCTATGTGAACAAAAACGTAAAAAAAGACATGCGGCCATAGCTCAAAAACTTGACCTGATTGAGCAAAACCAATGTGATTTTTGGATTCAGCGCATCAGATTCGTCCTAAATCAACTGAAAAAACAGAGACAAAAAATTTGTTGTTGACCAGTGTAAACATAGTTGAGAGGTCCCTCATATTTATGGGACTGCCTCTCCTGGTGTGCCCAGCAGAGGTCCTTTGTTGTTGTTGTTGTTGTTGAGTCATTTAGTCGTGTCCGACTCTTCGTGACCCCATGGACCAGAGCACGCCAGGCACTCCTGTCTTCCACTGCCTCCCGCAGTTTGGTCAAACTCATGCTGGTAGCTTCGAGAACACTGTCCCACCATCTCGTCCTCCATCGTCCCCTTCTCCTTGTGCCCTCCATCTTTCCCAACATCAGGGTCTTTTCTTGTTCCAGCCAGATGGGCGGGGTATAAATAAATTATTATTATTATTATTATTATTATTATTATTATTATTATTTTCTGAGCATCTCATCGCCCACATCCCTTTAGACTGCTATGGTCTAACAATTTTGCATTTATTGAATTATCGTTATCTCCCCTGAACTCTCTCTCCCCCAAGTGTGGTTTTCCAAAACGTCACTTAAAATCTGTTCCTTTTAAAAAGATAAAGTAGGAACAGGACATTCCTCACCTTTGAATTATTTTATTCAGCAGCTCCCTGGAGAGCCCCTCTTGTCTGTCCCCTCATCCCCACCCCGCAGGACTGAAAATCACAAACTCTCCCTATTTCAAGGTCCCTTCTGTAGCCATTCCAGCCCACCTCCCTGCCTCTGTACTTAAATGAAGAATTTCCCCCGCAGGCAAAAAGCCATTTCCTCGGAATACCAAATGCAGAACTTTGCATTGATCAAATGGGCTTCTGCGACAGCTTTTGGGGATGCAGCCTGCGCTCTGGCAAATAGCTTCTTCTCTTTTTCTCATCAGGAGTTGCATCTGAGCCATAGCCAGTCTCTCTAGTAGGGCGAGGATTTCCATCTCAATTGCAAGTCACTTAGCAACACTGGGCTGGAGATTTAAAAACTGTTGAAAGTCAGCCGGGTTTTCTTCTTCTTTTTCTTCTCTTTTAAAAAAAGCTCCTTACAGACTCCGGGTTTGGGATGTTGCAGAGATCTGTTAGAAAAAGCAAAATGGTTGTGGAAATGCCCACGATTCTCATGTTTGTTAGAGGGCAGAAATGGATATCAGGCAGCCAAATGAAAGCATCACTATCATTCTTTAAGTGCGCAAAAGTTAGGCAAGTTATTTATTTTTTCTGTAACATGTTATTTATTCATTTGCTGCATTTACTTTTTCTAATATAATTTTTTATTAATTTTTAGCATATCATTTTCAACAGTAATTAAACATACTTTTACATCTGATACATTTTTTGTGACTTCCATCAATCCTGTCTGAAAAATTTTCCAATCTAATCTCTTAGTATACATTTCTTACTTTCCCTATTACATCTAAATCTCATAACTAGTATCTCTATTCTTTGTCTGCATTATAACGTTTCGTATATTTCTCCTTACAAAACCTCTTGTAGTCCTACTAGCGTGATTTGTTGATTACAATTGCTCTTCAGATAGTTCACATGCTTCTTCCAATCTTCTGTAAATCTCTGGTCCTGCAGGTTTTGAATCCTTCCTGTCATTTTATCCAATTCTGCATAGTCCATTAATTTTATCTGCCATTCTTCTTTCGTCGGAATTTCCATTTGCTGACTTTACATCCCACCTGCTTGTTCATAATAATAATAATGTCATTATTTATACCCCAGCCACTCTGGGCGGCTTCCACACAGTACAAGGTGGCATGCATAAGTTATCCCCACCTTGTTTAAATTCCACAACAACCCTGTGAGGTAGGTTGGAATAAGAGGCAGGGACTGGCTCAAGGTCTTCAGGGCTGTGGGAACGGGGAGCCTGGTCTCTCCCGGGTCCTAGTCTGACACTAGCCAATAGGTCACACTATCTTGATTGTAAAACTCTGCTTCATTTTTTTTTTTGAATGATATTTATTAAAGTTTCAATAAAAGATTAAACATAAAACATAAAAAAGAAATACACAATTCAAAATATACAATACATAATCTAAAAGAAAAAGGAAAAATAAAGAAACAAGAAAACAAAAGACAAAAAAGAAAGTAGAACAATTAAAAACAGTATCATCTTTTCGTCTCCATTTTTAAATTTACTTATTTTCTGGACCTCCTCGTACCTCCCTCTTTTGTATTCCAGTTCAAATTGTTCATCCAGCAATTTCTTTCCCTCTTTTTTTAATCCCAATCTTAACTCTTGATATAATATAACATTAAAATTTTACCTTTTAAAACCAGATTTCCATTTCCTTAAACTTTTTTAATCCTAATCCTTAATCTCAATCTATCTATAATTTTAAATCCTAAACAGCTGGAAGCCACTTATTTTTAATCCAACATCACTCTAACATTCTTTAATTTTGCAATGTTTCTGCAGATAGTCTTTGAATTTCTTCCAATCTTCCTCCACCGACTCTTCTCCCTGGTCACGGATTCTACCAGTCATTTCCGCCAGTTCCATATAGACCATAAGTTTCATCTGCCATTCCTCCAGTAAAACTCTGCTTCATGGTAAAGACAAAACAAAACAAAACCTTAAAGCAGTTTCCAAAAAAAAAGAAGGGGGAAAAAAGGAAGGGGAAGCAATTTTAAAAACATCTAAAATGTCCAAAAACAGTTAAAATCACTGATAAACTAAAAACAGATGAGAACAAAAACCAGTACAGTGGTACCTCTGGTTGCGAACGGGATCCGTTCCGGAGGCTCATTTGCAACATGAAAAGAACGCAATTCGTTGCAATTTGCCGCTTCTGCGCGTGACGTCATTTTGCGCTTCTGCGCATGTGTGAGCGGCGAAACCCGGAAGTAATTACAATTCCCATCATCCCTGACCACTGGCCCTGCTAGCTAGGGATGATGGGAGTTGTAGTCCCAAAACATCTGGAGGGCCGACTTTGCCTATGCCTGACCTGGAGGACAAGTTGTAGCTCTTGCAACCTGGTTCCTTCCTTTGGGATGCCAATGAGGACATTTGAGTGGCCAGCTAAGGTCACTGTCTCATGAAGAAACTCGCCTGACCAGTTCAGCAGCCTCCTCTCTTAGGTTCTGACCTTCACTGGGTGGAAGACCCACAGAATTAGAAGGGATCTCAGGGCATCATTCAGACTGACCCCTCCACCAGCCCACAAAATTAACAATGTATATGATCCCTGGTGGCTCTTCCGGGTGCTTCTTCTGCAACTCAGCCCTTCAGCAAAAGCGGGGAGGGAAATGTGCGTGGTTGCGGCACAACCAGGGAAGGTCTCCTCCATTCCCTGCCTCTCCCCTTGGATGCTTTCTGCAGATCTCTCTGTGCCGAAGCTATTTAAGCTGTCAGGGAACATCCAGTTACTCCCCTGGGTGGGTGGGGGGGAATGTGCTTTTGAGAGAACTGCATGAGGCTATTTTTCAGCATTTTGGGGTTGAGCCACTTAAAAAAATAAATCGTAAAGGTTATTTTGCTTTGAACTTCTTCCCATTTTGCTTGATTTCCTGCTGAGGTGGGAAAATGTATTAGCTATGAAGTGAGATGCTCCACTTTCCTGCCCAACGGGGAGAAAATTCCCTCCCTCCCCAGAGTTGTCTAAACTAGCTTTTAAAAGGACGGGGCTCTGTGGTCTGGCATGTAACAGGCATAATAATAATAATAATAATAATAATAATATCCTCCTGCTTTTCATAGTGCTGGGGGGTAGAGTAGGAAACCTGTATCAAAAGAGAGAAGGGTTTTTTTCATCTAAAGAGAAGAACAAAAGAAGGAGACTGCTGGATTGGGACAATGGTCCATCTTCTCCAGCGTCCTGTTCTTACTGTGGCCAAACCAGATGCTCATTATGGGAAACCAGTGTTGTAAACAAAATCTGCCCTTTCCCCCTTATGGGGTATCCAAGAGCCCATATAGAGTCCTTACGTAGGTTCCCTATTGGTAGGAGAAAATAACAGAGGTCAACCAGATAATATTGAGAAGCAAAGCCGTTAGTAAGCTCGATCTTTATTGATCTGTTGCAACAGGATGCTCCCCTCACCCGCAGGAAAGGAGGAGGACCCAGAACAATGGCACGCAAGGTCTTATATAGACATTTTAAATTCTCTGCCCTGGAGCTCAAGACCACCCCCAGAAACATCATACATACATGACAGAAGGGGTGTAACCTAAGACCACCACCCCAGATACATCATACAAACATCACAGAAAAGGCGGTCTACAGCAGAAATCTGAGTGACTTGTTTATCTCACAGGTTACCTGTTTAATGGTCACTTGATTGGATTGCCTGAGGAGCCTGGCCAGTCTTTTGTAATGATAAATACTTAGTTCCTGGGCCAGGTCACAGCCTCACACTCTATTCATATATTAAATGTGCCCTTAAGATAGGATTTGTGAGGAAAAATGGGGAGGTTTCCCACAGAGCAGAGCCATCTTAGCCAGGAGCCATCCATCTCCTCCTCCTCCTCCATGAATTTGTCTACGATAGGTAGCTAGACATCAATAAGGAACAGGCAGCAACCTTATCATAGGACTGTAGAGCTGGAAGGAACCCTGAGGGTCATCTATTCCAACCCCCTGCGATGCAGGAATCTCAGCCAAAGCATCCCTGACAAATGGCCATCCAACCTCTATTTATAAATGAAATATACTCAGAGTTGAGTGTGAATTTAACGCTCTTTATTCAACTCATGGTAGCAATGAATGAAACTTTCCCCAAAACGTCTAGCTATATATACATTATTTACACAATGGGCTCTGTGTGATTGGCTAATTCTGGACTGCTCCTGTAGGCCAATCAGGTTGCGGATTCACTTCCACCTGGAGCTGGATTGGGTGGCTCCTGCGGACCAATCAGACTGCTGCATTCTGGATCCTATTGTTCTAGGATTCAGCTCAGTACATAACAATAAACATAAACATAAACATAAACATAAACATAAATTGTTTATATCCCATCCTCCCCAGCCGAAGTTGGGCTCAGAGCGGCCAACAACAATAAAAGTAACACAGTTCACATAAAATCACAATCAGTTGAAATACATTCTAAAATCAATTCATTCTAAAATCAATTCAAAATCAAATCAATGGCAACCAAGGAAAGAGAGTTCACAGCCTTCCAAGGGAAACCATTTCCATATTGCATCAAACAGTGAAGCCTCTTCTTCCCAGAGTGGGAGTCTGTGACAAGGAAGCTGAGTTCTTTGTCTCCTTTTTTCTGCTCTCTGCCAGTATCCTTGTGTTTGGGCTCCATTTCCCCCAGCACTTGCCACTTTAGCTGGCTATTAGAGATTAGAAGCGGATGGAGGATGGATGACGGCTAACAGACTGAGGTTGAATCCTGACAAGACAGAAGTACAGTACTGTTTTTGGGGAACAGGGGATGGCCGGGTGTGGGGGACTCCCTGGTCCTGAATGGGGTAACTGTGTCCCTGAAGGACCAGGTGCGCAGCCTGGGAGTCATTTTGGACTCACAGCTGTCCATGGAGGCACAAGTCCGTTCTGTGTCCAGGGCAGCTGTTTATCAGCTCTATCTGGTACGCAGGATGAGACCTTCCCTGCCCGCAGACTGTCTCGTCAGAGTGGTGCATGGTCGGGTTATCTCCCGCTTGGACTACTACAATGCGCTCTACATGGGGCTACCTTTGAAGGTGACCCGGAAACTACAATTAATCCAGAATGCGGAAGCTAGACTGGTGACTGGGAGCGGCCACCGAGACCATATAACCCCGGTCAGAAAGACCTACATTGGCTCCCAGTACGTTTCCGAGCACAATTCAAAGTGTTGGTGCTGACCTTGAAAGCCCTAAACGGCCTTGGCCCAGTATATCTGAAGGAGCGTCTCCATCCCAGACACCTGGGTCCAGCTCTGAGGGTCTTCTGGCATTTCCCTCATTGCAAGAAGTGAGGTTACAGGGAACCAAGCAGAGGGCCTTCTCGGTGGTGGTGCCCGCCCTGTGGAATGCCTCCCATCAGATGTCAAGGAAATAAGCAACTATCTGACTTTTAGAAGACATCTGAAGGCAGCCCTGTTTAGGGAAGTTTTTAATGTCTTATGTCTAATTGTATCTTTAAAATTTTGTTGGAAGCCGTCCAGTGTGGCTGGGGAAACCCAGCCAGATGGGCGGGGTATAAATAAATGATGATGATGATGTCTGTTTTAACACATCTTTCCATCCTAGTACAGTGGTACCTCTGGTTGGGAACGGGATCTGTTCCGGAGCCCCGTTCGCAACATGAACAGAGCGCAACCTGCAGCGGCGCATCTGCGCATGAGCGGGTTGTGATTTGCCGCTTCTGCGCATGAGCATGATGTCATTTTGCACATCTGCGCATGTGCGAGAGGCGAAACCCGGAAGTAACCCTTTCCGGTACTTCCGGGTCGCCACGGGACGCAACCTGAAAAGACGTAACCTGAACCGAACGTAACAAGAGCTATGACTGTACTGAGTCAGATCACCATTACATTCAGTTTAGTTTTGTCTACAATGACTGGCAGTAGCACATCAGGATTTCAAGCAGGGAATATCTCCAAGCCGAACCCAGAGATGGTGTCAGACGTTGAACCCGGTATCTCAAATCAAGGACGGCTTGTTGGTGACCTCGGATGTAACTTTTGCTGCCCTCTGCCCAGGGGGCCAATGTCCAGTCTTGGCTCCAGAGACAAAACTATTTCCATTTACAGCAACGGAGACAAAATGTCCTCTTGATGTTTGCTTTCTGCACTCTTTTCAAAATAACAGGTTGCTGGTGGGAGGGGTGAAAACGCCCTCAGTAAGCAGAAAATTGTCATAACAACATTGAGGACTGATCTTGGGGCATAAAGGAGTTTTCTTTTTCGGCTGCACAGTGGTCCCTTGGTTCTCAAACTTAGTCCATTCCAAAACCAAAGCGTTCCAAAACCAAGGCGCGCTTTCCCATAGAAAGTAATGCAAAATGGATTAATCCGTTCCAGACTTTTAAAAGCAACCCCTAAAACAGTGATTTAACATGAATTTTACTATCTAATGGGAGCATTGATTCATAAAATGAAAGCAATAAACCATGTACTGCAGTCACACAATCAATCAGTCAGTAGCTGAACTCGGTTCCACACAGTCACAAAAACAAAACGAAAAGAGCCGCAAAAACAAAAATGCAAAATAAATAGCAAAAACAGACAGACCTCAGTGTAACACTCGAAACAGAGCATGTTCGGCTTCTGAAAAATGTTCACAAACCAAAACACTTACTTCCAACCCCAACTCCTATAGTTATAATTTGTCAGTTGCCATCTGATTTTAATTTGATTTTGAGCTGCATTTCAAACGATTTTTTGATTTTATGTTTTAATGTATAATATACTTTGAGGTTAGCTGCCCTGAGCCTGGTTCTGGCCGGGGAGGGCAGGATATAGATAAAATTATTTATTTATGTATGTATGTATGTATGTATGTATGTATTTATTATTATTATTCCGGGTTTGCAGCGTTTGTTTGAGTACCAAGGCATTTGCAAACCGAGGTACCACTGTGTTGGAGTTGGTTTTCTGTGGGCGATTTGAGATGGGCTGGAGGAAACCTCTTTGCTGATGGAGGGCTGCCATCTTCAGGAAACATGGTGCCATCTCAATTGGCTTCCAGGGGCTTCGACCAGCATCGTGGGACCACAACTCCCTCCCGCCCCAAGCAGTACAGAGTTGCCTCAAATATCTGGATGGGGCCCAGACTGGCAAAGGCTAGGTGAGAGCCATGCCAGTTCTTGTGGTGCGCTTGAGAGAAAGAGGCATTTCAAAGAAGCGAGATGACAGAAGTTTGCAAAACTCTCTGTGGCTTGGAGAAACTGGATAGAGAAGGACTTTTTCTCCCTCTCTCACAGCACTGGAACTGTTGGAATGATTTAGGGCATAAGGAAGGAAGTCCTTTTTCCCCAGCGAAGAGTTAAAGGGTGGAACTTGCTCCCTCACGAAGCAGCGATGGGCAGCAAAGGCTTTAAAAGAGGATTAGACGAAACAGTGCAAATCACTGCTAAACTAGAAACTGTGAATAATTGGGTGCACTCTTCCCACCTTGGATCAAATCTATGCTTCCAGGTGTCACAAGAAAGCTGCAGAGATAGTGCAGGATAGTGCGCACCCCGGAAACGATCTCTTTCAGCTTCTGCCTTCTGGAAGAAGGTCCAGGGTTATAAAGACTAGGACTAGCTGCCTCAGAAACAGTTTCTACCCAAATGCGATTTTGGTTTTAAATGCAGTGTAAGGTAGTATCTAAGGGACGTGGATGGCGCTGCGGGTTAAACCACGGAGCCTAGGACTTGCAGATCAGAAGGTTGGCAGTTCAAATCCCCGCGACGGGGTGAGCTCCCGTTGCTGGGTCCCTGCTCCTGCCAACCTAGCAGTTCAAAAGCACGTCAAAGTGCAAGTAGATGAATAGGTACTGCTCCGGCGGGAAGGTAAATGGCATTTCCGTGCCCTGCTCTGGTTCGCCAGAAATGGCTTAGTCATGCTGGTCACATGACCCGGAAGCTGTACGCCGGCTCCTTTGGCCAATAAAGCAAGATGAGCGCCACAACCCCAGAGTCATCCTCAACTGGACCTAATGGTCAGGGGTCCCTTTACCTTTACCTTTAAGGTAGTCTCTATGGGAGTATGTTGTATTTAATTATGGGGTATCAGAGTTTTTAGGGGATTAACTAGGCTGGGATAGCTGGGATAGCAGGCTTGTTGGTTTCAAATGTCTGATGTAGATTTTTTCAATTTCGTTGTTCTGTTTGGGACAATGACAATAAAGATTATCGTATTGTATCGTACTGTAAAAAATAAAAACACAAAGCAGTATTCTGGATACCTGGGTAGGCCTGTAGGAACAAAAATGTTTTCAGCAGAGACCAACAAGAGCAGAGTGAAGGTGCCTGTCTGGTGTCAAGAGGCAGGGAGTTCCAAAGGGCAGGATCCGCCACATCAAAAGATCAATTTCTTACAAATGCGAACCCGCTATTATGTGGCACCTGTAACAGTGCCCGTTCCTCAGACTGAAACGATCAGGTGGACATATAAGGGGTAAATTGCATAAACCATGTTATTTCCTGCAGAGTTTGGGACATTCCCCTGCTATTGAAATTAATTGCATCATTAACTATGGAACTCACTGCTACAGGAGGCAGGGATGACCGCCGACTTGGATGGTTTTAAAAGAGGATGGGATGAATTCTTGGAGGTCCCAATTAACATTTGTAAAAAAGCCTGAAGCTTTTCTGTTAGGGATTGTAGGAAAAGACTTGCCAAGGAAAGTAAAAAACATTTTTTTGTATGCGACAATGGCAGCAAGTGTCTTACTAGCACAAGGATGGAAGAGTGAGGAAATCCCGACTAAAGAACTGTGGCAAGAGAAACTGATGGATTATGGGGAACTGGCGAAATTGACACATAAACTACGAGACAAGGACAACTGTGACTTTAAAGAAGAATGGGAACCTTTTACAAAGTACTTAAAGAAACAACAAAATAAACTGGACACCTTGGCAGGTTTTGAATAAGCATTCACAAACTTTTTATTGGTAATATACAGACAGACAAACTGAGGAGCTTTACAATTTTAAACATGCAGAAAATAACATGTGCGTGAGAAATCAGAGAAAGGAGCTGAGGGAAGTTGGGTGGGACGGTGGGTTTTACTTTTTTTCTTTTTTAGGGGGGAGGGGGGAAACGGGGGGAATGAGGATGATGTATTTTTGATAAGTTGTTACGCTGAAATTCCTAATAATTTAATTTAAAAAAAAAAAGAAAAAGCAACAAAGGCAAAAAAGAAAAGAAAAGATGAATTCTTGGAGGAGGGCGATAGGACTCTCGATGGCTCCTAGCCGGGAGGTCTCTGTTCTGCCTCTGTGGTCAAGAGGCAGCAGTGCCTGTGAATCCCAGTTGTGTAAACCACAGGAGGGGAGAGTTGCTCTGGTGCTCGATTTCCTGCTTCTCAGTTTCCCCACAGGAAGACAGCTGTCACCTGTGAGAGCAGGATGCTGGCTTCATCCCGCAGCCTCTTCTTCTGCGCTTATGCTCAGCACCTGAAGATGCACCTTGGCTAAATTGGTGGGTTGGGCTGAGTGGCTTTCCATTCTCTTCTGAGCCTCTGACGCTTTGCTTCCTCCCAAAAATAAATGCCTCTCTTTTTTTTAAGGCACAGCCATCCTTTCCAGCGAAAGTAATGCACGCACAACACACTGTCCATGACTCTTTTGAAAGCACTTATTTTCCTTTCAGGAGGAACAATGGAGATATTTTCTCTCTCTCTCTCTTCCTCTCTCTCTTTTGCTGCTCCTGACTGTTCTGGGCTATGAGATGGGATCTATTTTAGAGAGGCTTGATTTCCAGACCCTTGATCCTCTCGGTCGCCCTTCTCTGCACACCTTCCAGCTTGCCAAAATCCTTCCTAAATTGTGGTGCCCAGAACTGGACACAGTATTTCAGATGTAGACTCACCAAGGCAGAACAGAGCAGGACTATGACTTCCTTTGGGACGCGGGTGGCGCTGTGGGTTAAACCACAGAGCCTAGGGCTTGCCGATCATAAGGACGGCGGTTCGAATCCCCGCGATGGGGTGAGCTCCCGTTGCTCGGTCCCTGCTCCTGCCCACCTAGCAGTTCGAAAGCACGTCAAAGTGCAAGTAGATAAATAGGTACCGCTCTGGTGGGAAGGTAAACGGCGTTTCCGTGCGCTGCTCTGGTTCGCCAGAAGCGGCTTAGTCCTGCTGGCCACATGACCCGGAAGCTGTACGCCGGCTCCCTTGGCCAATAAATCGAGATGAGTGCCACAACCCCAGAGTCGGTCACGACTGGACCTAATGGTCAGGGGTCCCTTTACCTTTATGACTTCCTTTAATCTGGACCCTAGACTTCTGTTGATGCAGCCTAGAATAGCATTTGCTTCTTCTTCTTCTTTTGCTAATGCATCACACTATGGGCTCATAAGGAAACCAGCCCTGAGTGCTCACTGGAAGGACAGATCCTGAAGCTGAGGCGCCAAGACTTTGGCCACCTCATGAGAAGAGAAGACTCCCTGGAAAAGACCCTGATGTTGGGAAAGATGGAGGGCACAAGGAGAAGGGGACGACAGGACGAGATGGTTGGACAGTGTTCTTGAAGCTACCAGCATGAGTTTGACCAAACTGCGGGAGGCAGTAGAAGACGGGAGTGCCTGGCATGCTTTGGTCCAGGGGGTCACGAAGAGTCGGACATGACTAAACAACTAAACAACAACAATGGGCTCATGTGAAGCTTGTGATCTGCTAAGACCAGGGGCATCTCAAGGGGGTGCAGAAGGTGCGGTTTGACCCAGGTCTCATGCCTGGGGTATGTGTGGCAAATCCCCCCCCCCGCCCGGATCGGTGTGGCTATGCTCGCACCCCCAACAGGCGGATTCTCATGATTGGTACGATCATTGTGGTGAAAATCTGCCCTCTGATTGATCGCACAAATATTCCCAAAATTTGCAGTGTGTGGGGGGGGGGTGACCATTTTTTTCCGCACCGGGTACCACCTGTCTTTGCTACACCTCTGGCTAAGACCCCTGGATCCTGTTCACATGTGCTGCTGTCAAGCCATATACATTTGAAGAGGGTATCGGGGTTGTTGTAGGAATTTATGAGTAGGTGGGGGGTTTGCCCCTCCAGCAGATATCAAGCACATGCAGCCCACTCCCAAAATCAGCACAATCACGTTTGTGACTTCTGTGATTTGTCCCCACAAAACACTTCATCGCAGTTTCTTCCTATCTATTCAAAGGGCCTTTGCTGCACGATACCAAATGTAAGAATTCACTGATAAATGTATCTATGTACTGGCTCACTGGGAAAACTTCATAAATTCATATAGACATGTGAGCTCAGCTACTCAGCAGCCCCTCTGCCTGAGGGATAATCCCTGGCATCCTGATACCTGAGTGCCAGACAGGTAGCCGTTCCAGAAATAACAAACGCAGATGAAGACAAAAGGGTGTGATGAACTTGGCTGGGAAACAGGGAAATGTAAATATCTCTGTTGTTCCACTTGATGGGTGTTTGGTGGAGGGCAAGGGGAACCATGGGGCAGGGTCCAGGATGCTCAGATTACTGCCACCAGACCTCCCCTTTCATGATGTAACCGTGATGTATGAGTGATGTAGTTGGGGGGGGGGGTAACATGAGGATTAGCAGCTAATAAAAGTTTGGGGGCTCTTTTGTTCGGGGCTTCCATCTTGCTTCGTCTTGCAGTGAGTTGGAGTCCTGTCGTGACAGTTTCAATAAAGACTACTGGCTGCTGTTTTGCTCCAATTTTCCTGGCTGGCGTCCTTGCTTTTTTGTCCAAGAGAGCCCTCAGATTTCTCCATTAACAGGGTCTATGAGGTCCACAGGTTCCATTATGAACTCTGGGAGTTTCAGTCCCAAACGTCAGTGTGAAAGGACACACCTCTGGGAGCTGGGGGGAGCACCCACAGACATGCTCTTGCCCTATAGCAAGCATCTGGGGCAGCTGAAGGAGGGGGCGGCGGTGGTGGAGTTGGTGGGGCTGTGTTGGGTTGCAGACCCCCTCACTCTGCTCCCAGCACCAGGCAAGGGTTATCGTCGGACTCTTCTGCGGCTTAAAGGAATTATCCAAGAGCCATTTATTCGCCTTTCCGATCTTAAATGCATCAGTCAAGTGCTGGTTTCAAAAGGGCATTTCATAGACTGCGAGCGATAAGTCTGCATTTGGAGATTATCATATTACCCAGAGTGGAAATTTAATCTCCTTTGGACAGAAGGAAGCAGGGAGAAGAAGCTCCCTACTGCCTCCCGGTGGTAGAAGAGGGGTACTGCTTGGGATGGGGGAGGGGAAGTCAGAGGCCTTCGTTCAGTTAATCAATTAACTAATTAATAAAGACGCTGCTTCAGATTTCAACAGGGATCTGCTAGCAGCTTGCAAATCCCAACAAAACGAAACCCCGCATGAGAAAATCAAGTTCCACATTCAAAATAAAAAAAGAACAATCTTTGATTGATAATCCACTTGCTTTAGCCCACTTGATAGAGCATGAGACTCTATTTTAGAACACATATGTATTTATTATCTAAGCCCCGATATCGTCAATTCTTTCAATAACCCGTTGCTTATATTTCAAATCCTGCCTGTGACTTCATGTATGAATATTAGTTTGATAGGTAACGGGATGTGGGTGGTGCTGTGCTCTAAACCACTGAGCCTCTTGGGCTCATTGATCTGAAGGTCGGGGGTTCGAATCCCTGTGATGGTGGTGAGCTCCCGTTGCTCTGTCCCTGCTCCTGCCAACCTAGCAGTTCAAAAGCATGCCAGTGCAAGTAGATAAATTGGTACCACTGTGGCGGGAAGGTAAACAGGATTTCTGTGAACTCTGGTTTTCGTCACGGTGTCCCGTTGCGCAAGAAGCGGTTTAGTCCTGCTGGCCACATGACCCAGAAAAGCTGTCTGGACAAACGCCGGCTCCCTCGGCCTGAAAGCGAGATGAGCACTGCAACCCCAGAGTCAACTGCGACTAGACTTAACCATCCAGGAGTCCTTTACCTTTACCTTTTAATTTTGTGGTCTAAACTACTGAGCCTCTTGGGCTTGCCGATCAGAAGGTCGGTGGTTCGAATCCCCGCGACGGGGTGAGCTCCCATTGCTCTGTCCCAGCTCCTGCTGACCCAGCAGTTCAAAAGCACACCAGTGCAAGTAGATAAATAGGTACTGCTGTGGTGGGAAGGTAAACGGCATCTCCTTGCGCTCTGGTTTCAGTCACGGTGTCCCGTTGCGCCAGAAGCAGTTTAGTCCTGCTGGCCACACAACCCTGAAAGCTGTCTGTGGACAAACGCCGGCTCTCTCAGCCTGAAAGCGAGATGAGCGCCGCAACCCCATAGTCGCCTTTGACTGGACTTAACCGTCCAGGGGTCCTTTACCTTTTACCTAGTCCACCAATGGTCACCATTCTTCCTTAAACAATTCATCACAATACCTTCTTCATTTGACAGCCAGTTTTGCCTTTTCTGCATAGTCGAGGTCTCAACGTCTCGAGAAGGACCACTGCCTCCTTCACCAGCTGCTCCCTTGCCCCTGGGATGTGGGTTTCTCTTCAGGTATCAATCCCTCTTCTTCCGGCCACACAGGTGAATCCCTTCCGGGACCGGATCTGCAAGGTTTTCTCCACCGACGGCTACTTCACCTTTGAGGACATCCTTGGGATGGCGTCCGTCTTCAGCGACCGGGCGTGCCAGAGCATTAAGATGGAGTATGCTTTTCTGATATACGGTAGGGTGTTTCCCTCCGAATTCTCCTTGTGGCAACCAGGGTCCGAGGAATGTGGTCATCGCCTTGTGGGTGGGGTCAGGGCCGGATTTAGGATTTGATGAGGCCCTAAGCTACTGAAGGCAATGGGGCCTTTTATACGTCCAGCTGTCCTTGGTAGCCACCAACTTGGCCACCACTCTATGGGTCTCCTCCATGGAGGAGGGTGGCTACTAGCCAGGATAGCTATTAGGGATGGGTGAAATATCGATAGATTGTCCAAAACTGAAGTCCATGTCGTGCAATCAGTCTCATGATCTTTGACTCGGCAATATATCAAAAATCATGGTTTATGTTAGGGCTGGGCGATATATTGCCCCAAATTGGGTTGAAGTCCATATTGTGATATTGGTTTCATAATTGTCGACCTGGAGAATCAAGATTTGTGTATGTGCAAAAATTACAATGCGGGGGAAACTGTGAAGCCAGCCCATGCCTCTACCTGCCTCCATCCTTATGTCAGACATTGCGATGTATCAGTACATTGCAATGTTTATCTGGTGACTGTGGAGGTAACGCTCCGCTTTGTGAAGGCAAACCTCGCACCAGACATGCAATAGTATGTCAAGGAGCATTACACCTGCTTTTCCTGACCTTCTTGGCTAGAAAACAATTTGTTTGTTAGACATAATGCTTGGGGGAACATCTGAGGGAAACACCTGCTGAGACGTGTATTTGCTAATGCTGGAAATGTGATTAGATGGAAATACGTTAAGTTCAGGGTGGTTTCACTACTGTTTCCAATTGTTGACTTCTGCTAATAAAAGGAGCCTTGGCAGAGCTAGTCGGCAGCTTGCTTGGAGCATGCTTGCTAGCGTGCTTCTGCACAGCTCACCTGCATTCAATTCAACCTCCCATCGTCTCCATTATTCCTACAGGTGATACATCACAATGTTGAAAGCCAGGTATTGCCCTGCCCTAATGGGCACCTGTTTTGCCCGCAAGGCCAGAGGTAGCAATGCTTCTGAACCCCAGTTGCTGGAAACCCTAGGAGGGGAGATGGCTGGCTTTGGGTGCAAATCCTACTTGTGGGTTTCCCATAACGGGCATCTGGTCGGCCACTATGAGAACAGGATGCTGGACTAGGTGGGCCATTGGCCTGATCCAGCAGCCTCTTCTGATGTTCCTACGTTGTGACCCATTCCATCCGTACATTTTGCAACGCTTCCCTTGACCAGATTTCAATGACGACGGCTTTGTTGATGAGGAAGACCTCCAGAATGTCATCCGCAGATCGATCAACAGGAACAACCTCAGCGAGGAAGAGATTGCCTCTCTGGCCAACCACGTGCGTCTCGCCCCACTTCCCAGCATGCCCTTCCTTTTACGAGATCTCCAGAGACCTTGAGACAAGACGTTGGCCATGGTGGGATGTCCCGCAATGGCCAAAGCAGGCCAAGGGGTGGTGGAGGACACCAATCCCTAGCGCAGTACTAGAGCAGAGCAAGCTTGTTTCAACCTTCCTCAACCTGGTACCCTCCAGATGTTTGGCACCACAACTCCCATCAGCCTGAGTCAGCTGGGCTCCCTGTCTTCTCCCCCACCAGCGCCAGCCACCATTGCACCCAACACCATGGCCCCAGGGGCTGTTGGGAATTGTAGTCCATTTTGGACCAAGAAGATGCAGGTGGTCCTTGAGTTGCTGATTAAGAAGATGGAGGCGCAGAACAAGATGAAGGAGGCCAACTGGGAGAACTTTAGGCGTGGTCCTCGGCGCATGATTTCCATGTGCTTTGAGAGCAGTGTTGGGAGGGATGTTCCAACCTCAAGACTGGGAGGCTATATACCATATTTTTTGCTCTATAGGACGCACCTTTTTGCCCTCCAAAAATGAAGGGGAAATGTGTGTGCGTCCTATGGAGCGAATGCAGGCTCCTTGCCTTCAGCGATAGCAATGCGAAGCCTCCGAAGCGCAGAGGGAGAGCTCCCCCGCGCTCTTTGCCTTCGCGTTGCTTTCGCTGAAGCTGCCTGAAGCCCCCGGAGCGCAGGGAACTCCCGCTGTGCTCTGGGGGCTTCAGGCAGCTATCTGCAAGCCTTCGGAGCGCAGCAGGAGTTCCCACTGTGCTCCGAAGGCTTGCGGATAGCTGCCTGAAGAGCGAGAGGGGTCGTGCACACCGATCCCTCTTGCTCTCCAGGCTTCACTTCGCTGGAGAGGCGCTGCACAGTTTTCCCTCTCTGTGCAGCGCCCCTTCAGCAAAGCGGGAGGAGAAATGGAAGGGGCTCCGTTTCTCCTGCCGTTTCGCTGAAGGGGCGCTGAGCAGAGAGGGGGAGAATTTTTTTCCCCTGTTCTCCCCCTCCTATGGTCCGGTGCGTCCTAAAGAGCGAAAAATACGGTATATTCTCCTATGAACTCACCCAGGCTCTGAGATCTTACATTTTTTTAAAAAAATTGGAGGGCACCAAGTTGGGGACAGCTGACTTGCTCCATCCTTTGGCTAGCAAACAAGAGATGCTGATCTCATGTTCAGAGCCAGATGGTTTGGGGTGTAGGTCTCTCACACAGGGCATTCCTGTTGGTCGGGACACCTGTGTGAGGAAGGGGTGAGTGGTCTTCAAGGCAGACATTTCTGTTCCAAGCAGGTTCTGGAGGAGGCCGACTTGGATAACGACAAGATGCTCTCCCTGGTGGAGTTTGAACACGCCATGACCAAGTCTCCAGACTTCCTACAGTAAGAGCCCTCTCAAAAACTCACCTGAGCTATCCAACCCTCGTCGCCACGGGCCCAGCTACAAAATCCCCCTCCTGTACCTTAGTCCCCACCCCAAACTTTAAAAAACTGAGTAGGGCAAGCTTTCCATGACAGTCACCCTTTCAGCTTGATGATGGCGGTGACAATTTCCAGGGGACGGAGCTATTACTCTCATCCCCACTATTCCTTGCCTATTATAAGGATATAATAGATTTATTGCACACCCTTCCCTCGCAGCTCTTTTAGGCTCTACTTCTGAGGAAGGGGCGGCAAGATGGCGGCACACGATATCCAGACGTCACACAAGCCAAGACGCATAAAAGCAACTCTTCCAGAGGGACGCTTCCATCACAGATATTTTTGTAGGGAAGGAACCCAGGCAGCAGATCCGTCTGTATATTTTGCAAGAGAATAAAATTTGACTGTTGAGGAAAGGCAAAGAGCATGGAGTTTCTGTGGGAATGTTCAGGGATCCAGGAGAGGATATATTGTTTGATTATAGCCTTTCCAACTTGTGTTAACAAGTTCACAATTTAGCAGAATTTTTAAACTCACAGAGGATGCGTTTTATCAGGCTCACTAAAGCCTCTATAATAACTGTTTTGGTATTTCCCCCTTATTCCCTCATAAAAGATAAGACACGACAGTTTTCTATAAAAGTATAAAAAGAGTTTATTCGCATTCTGTTCACAATTCTATCCCAGAAGTCAGACTTAGCTTAGAAAAGTAACATACACTTGGAAACTATCTCATAAGGAGACAGTCCCTTTGTCCTCTCTTGGCTGGAGCCAAGAGAGCATCTGTGGCTAAGCAGATGCTGCTTCTTCAAAGAAGCCCTGCCCTGTGCTTTTGTCGTTACCTGCACAGGTGAGGCCACGCCCACCTCTAGTCCCATGCAGAGGAAGTCTGTCCCAGCCCAGAAGGAAACAGGAAGTTTACCTGCTGGCTGGACAAACATTCCTCCCCATGTGTAAACATGTTCACTCTAGGAATGTTGTACTTGACTGCTTGTGTGTTTCACATCCCACAGTTTCTCATATCTCCATCTTTTCTTCCCCATGGCAGTCTTGGAAAGCGTTTGCGTTTTCAGTTCAGAGTGGGCCCCTGGGGAAGGGGGTGCCAAATACACTGGCTCCTGCTTACAAAAGGGAGGGGGGAGTGGTAGGGTTGCGGCCTTAATTCTGGCAAAATTCAAGGCAGGGCAGGGCGGTGATTTTTCTTGTGAAATCCCAGAGGGTGGGAATTCCTCCACACCCATTTGCACCCTGAATTCTCTGCACACCCTTAATTCTCAGCACTGCAGATCAAGCGTTCCTGGTTATGCTCCCCAACCCCTATTCCAGTTCTGTTTCCCTTTTAAATGATTTTTATTACTTTTTCCCCAAAAAGATACAAAATTCTGTAAAATACAGTGTTCCCAAAAGGGATCTGATGGCAATATACATGTACAATTACAGATCACTGTCGAAGAAACGCAGACATATAACGAAACCCAAATAAATAAACCGCAGGCATGTGAATGCGAGGAAGGCAGCGGCAGGAGCTATTTTTGCATAGACGTAATGGTTAAACAAGACACGGTGACAAAACATGGACCCTATTATACCAAGGGAAAGGAATTAACATATTCCAATGCCCTGATTCGCTATATCAGCCATATTTGTTTCTGGGCTGAGCGAAGTCCTTGTTCTTCTTTACTTACAAAAGAAATAAAGTCAGGCCGAACAAGTATGAAACTTTTCCAGCAGACAGAATGCCTACCGTTAAGTTATTATCGACTGGTGATCTCATTAACCCAGAAGGAAGGCAGTTCAGCCATTTGCACAAGATTATCTCCACAAGGATTCAGAGTGTGCAGGGTTCCAGGCAAGCAACTCAGCGAAATCTTTGCACGCTCAGTGCCTCTGCCCGCCAGGATCTTGTCTGGACTGGATAGTGCCCACTCTGGAAAGTGGAGATGAGGTGGTGTTTTGCTGATTGGTGCATAAGAGGAACAGACACGCTCGGGAGCGGACACTCCTTCATTGGAGGTTTTTAACAGAGGTCGGGTGGCCATCTGTTGGGGATTCTTTAGCTGCATCGCAGGGGGTTGGACTACGATACGATAATCTTTACTGTCATTGTCCCATACAAAACAACGAAACTGAAAAAGTCTACATCAGACATTCAAAAGCCAACAAACCTGCTATCCCAGCCTGGTTAGCCCCCTAAAAACTCTGATACCCCATAATTAAATACAATATACTTCCATAGAGACTACTTTACACTGCGTTTAAAACCAAAATCGCATTTGGGTAGAAACTGTTTCTCAGGCGGCTAGTCCTAGTCTTTATAACCCTGGACCTTCTTCCAGAAGGCAGAAGCTGAAAGAGATCGTTTCCAGAGTGCGCACTATCCTGCGCTATCTCTGCAGCTTTCTTGTGACACCTGGAAGCGTAGATTTGATCCAAGGTGGGAAGAGTGCACCCAGTTATTCTCTCTGTAGTCTTTACAACCCTGGACAGCATTGTTTTTCCCCTGGCCGTGCAGCTCCCAAACACACACACAGATCATAAGTTAATACACTCTCCACAGTACAGTGGTAAAATGCCATCAACAGGTCCTTTGAGAGATTATTTTTCCAGAGGATTCTCAGACTAGAGGACCTTTGGGGATCCCTTCCAACTCTACCATTCTAAGATCAGACGAGCACTGCAGCTGGATCAGACCAAAGGTCCATCTGGTCCAGCATCCTCTTCCCCACGGTGGCCAAGCAAACGCCTCTGGTTGTCACAAACAAGACATGCTCACAGGAGCTCACTCCCACTTTTGTTTCCCAGAAACTGATCTTCATCTAGCCCTTGCGACCAGAGGCCACCGATAGCCTTTAGCCAATTCCTCCAGGAATCGGTCTAATTCCCCTTTAATGACATCTGAGTCGGTGGTCCATGGTCGCATCTCAGACCCTCCAACGTTTTTCTCTGATGAAAATAGGGACGTCCTAAGCAAAAGCGATGTGGGTGGCGCTGTGGGTTAAACCACAGAGCCTAGGACTTGCCGATCAGAAGGTCAGTGGTTCGAATCCCCGTGACGGGGTGAGCTCCCGTTGCTCGGTCCCTGCTCCTGCCCACCTAGCAGTTCGAAAGCATGTCAAAGTGCAAGTAGATAAATAGGTACCGCTCTGGCGGGAAGGTAAACGGCGTTTCCGTGCGCTGCTCTGGTTCGCCAGAAGCGGCTTAGTCCTGCTGGCCACATGACCCGGAAGCTGTACGCCAGCTCCCTTGGCTAATAAAGCGAGATGAGCGCCGCAACCCCAGAGTCGACCACGACTGGGTCCCTTTACCTTTTAAGCAAAAGCGAGGGTTTCCGGGATCAAATCAGAAACTGGGAAGGCTTCTGTAATTCCAGGGCTGTCCCTGGAAAACAGGGGCACCTGGAGGGTCTGGCATCTTCTGGTAGTCAATCTCGCCATTTGGCTATTTGCCGTGTCTGGGATTGTGTGCAATGCAAACAACACAGCAGACCGTACAAAAATTGAGGATCGCATAGTGTGTCTGAGAGATGATGGGTGGGGGAATTTAATCACTGGGCTATGCCCCAGAAGTTCATTTTTTATGGGATGCAACTTCCCCCAGGTCTTCCTGGGGCAACATGATATGGCAGGACTGGAAGAGAAAACCCAGCTCTTGTGATCTCCTGTTGCCCGGCTCTGACGTCCGTCCCGACAAAAGCTGACAACAGCGCCGTGGCGGTCTCTGCTCAGGCCCTGTATTCAAAATAGCTGTCTCGGACTTCTCTCTCTTGCGAGGTCACCCTCTTCCCCGAGGGGAAAGTCTGGTATGTCCGCAGGTTCTCCGGAGACACGCGATGGAGGTGCCACAATGTTTTGGCGCTCAGCGGCGGGCTGGAGGTCAAGGGGACAACAAGCACACAATGGGAGAAATCGGTTACATGGCTGATGGCTGAGAGTTGAATGCAGAAGGGATAATAATAATGATTAATAATAATAATAATAATAATAATAATAATAATAATAAATTATTTTTATCCCGCCCTCCCCAGCCGAAGCCGGGCTCAGAGAGGCTAACAACAATAAAAGTAACACAGCATTCTAAAATCAATTCATTTTAAAATCAATTCAAAATTAAATTAATGGCAACCATTGGGCTAACGTTCGATGAGGATTACAGAAGGAGGGGGTCAGACTGTGCCTTGGCCAAAGGCCTGGTGGAACAGCTCTGTCTTGCAGGCCCTGCGGAAAGATGTCAAGTCCCGCAGGGCCCTAGTCTCTTGTGACAGAGCGTTCCACCAAGTCGGGGCCACAGCTGAAAAAGCCCTGGCTCTGGTTGAGGCCAGCCTAACCGTCCTGTGGCCTGGGACCTCCAAGATGTTTTTATTTGAAGACTGTAAGGTCCTCCGTGGGACATTCCAGGAGAGGCGGTCCTGTAGGTACGAGGGGCCTAGGCCTCATGGGGCTTTAAAGGTTAAAACAAGCACCCTGAACCGGATCCTGTACTCCACCGGGAGCCAGTGGAGCTGGTAGAGCACCCGGTGAATGTGATTCCGCAGCGAGGACCCCGTAAGGAGCCTTGCCATGGCATTCTGCACCCGCTGGAGTTTCTGGGTCAGCCTCAAGGGCAGCCCCACGTAGAGCGAGTTACAATAATCAAGTCTGATGATGCTGTTATAGGAATTCTAAGGTCTTATGTATATAAAATGAATGTTCATAGATGTGCAAGGCAAACACATACATAAGTATATAAACCACATGTCTGATACAGGAGAACAATCCTGAAGCCATTTTGACTCTCCCAAATTGACCGCAAATATTTCTCTGCAAGGAGGAGGAAATGGGGAAAGCTTTCCAATTGTCTTTGGACTGTAGGGGCTGCTTACACCTCCCTGTTAATACAGTCTGGCAAGTATCTGTTCAGCTGAGCACACTATCAATATGCGTAAGAGATATAATACTACTACTACAAATAATAATAATAAATACCCCATCCATCTGGCTGGGTTTCCCCAGCCACTCTTAAAAACACATTAAAACATCAGACATTAAAAACTTCCCTAAACAGGGCTGCCTTCAGATGTCTTCTGAACGTCAGATAGAGATTCAGGAAGTATTTAGCATCTCAAAGGAATGGCCAGGCTACCCAGAAAAGGCAACCAAGTACAGTGGTACCTCGGGTTAAGAACTTAATTTGTTCTGGAGGTCCGTTCTTAACCTGAAACGGTTCTTAACCTGAGGTACCACTTTAGCTAATGGGGCCTCCCGCTGCCGCCACACCACCGGAGCACTATTTCTGTTCTCATCCTGAGGTAAAATTCTTAACCCGAGGTACTATTTCTGGGTTAGCGGAGTCTGTAACCTGAAGCATATGTAACCTGAAGCGTATGTAACCTGAGGTACCACTGTAAGGCAATATCAGGTATCCTGGCAGACAGAAGACACTCAAAGAGCTTCCGGGTTAGCGCCATCGCCGAATGGCGGACTCCCTCCGAGCTCCGGAGGGAGTCTGCTCGGCAGGGGCTGGGTCCTACCGCGCCGGCGACGCGGGGACCCTTAAAAACCACGGGCACGGAGTCCGTGGACATGGGTGACTCGGCTTGCACCATTAGCGCCCTCCCGACTCGTGAAGGAGCCTTTTAAAGGCTTCGGATCGGGTGCCGGGAGTGGCGTGGTGCTTTGAGTCCACTGCTTTCCCTGCCGAGCGCAGCCGCATGCCATTCGACGGAGAGCGCTGACTTCTTCTATTGAAAATTTGGACTTTTAACAACAACCCGTGAGTAATTGGGAAACCGGGTTTAAAATTTTGGATTTTGGATTTGGCACGAGCGGGGCGATTTAAAAGGAAGTCAATCCCCCTATTGTAAGCATTCCAAAACAAGGACTGGGTAACCAAGGTCCAAAGGGAAGTATGTTTCTGATAAAAATCATTAATTTCACGATGGGAAATTATAAGAAATGTGCTGGAGGAGAAGAGTGGAGGATGAGAAGAAAATGCAACCCCCCTGGGAACCGGGGCGATTCGTGGAGCCTGGTGAAGAGAGACGGAGACTTTGACAGCTGTCAAAGTGGCTGTCAAAGCTGGAGAATATAAAGAGGACTTTATGAGGACTTTGCTGGTAAATTTTGCTACAATTTGCTATAATATGGATATAAACTGTTGGAAAATAAGCAACAATTTGACTTTTGGATTAGAGGATACAAAGTTATTACAATCCCCCTAGAGGGGTTTCAGGATACTACAAGAACGGTCGTAAGTGGAAAAATACCCTGGGATTCGCACAGGATTTGTTATCTTCTGGGAAAGCTGCAAAACTGAAAGAGTATTTTGTCTACAGAGGAAGACAATGGAATTTTTATTGAAGAAAGAAAGGGACTGGACGTAAGTTTTTGTTCCTGAATAACAAACCTCTGCAGAGACACTAGATTTCTGAATTAGAAAGTTTTAGCAGCTGAACAGGACAAGAAACCTGAGAAAGTGAGGAATAAGAAGAATAAAGGACTGATTACGACACGGAAAGAACAACGGGAGGAGTGGTAAAGATCAAGGAAATTAAAGGCCTTTGTTAGATTGGACATTTGAAGTCAAATATTATTTAAATTAATAAACTAAAAGAAAACCGGCAAGATGGAATCGGGAGAAATCTGGTCATGAAATGAGATTTCCAAGCTGATAATGTATAGACTGATGGACATGGGGAATTCAAACCGGGAAGGGGGGTGGCGAGATTTGAAATCCAAAGGCTGTGTAACCATTTTTTGAACTTTTCTATATCTTTTATTTTCTATTTCTTTACATAACTTACGCATGTTATTTTACTTTGATCGGACGTGTTTAAAAAAAAGGGAATTTGTGGAAGGAACTGGGGTGGATCTTGGGGAAAATCTTTTTTCTTTTCTGTTAATGATGTGGGACGGTGGTAAGATTTGTACAATTCAAATTGGATAGTGGGTTAAACAAATTAAGCTTTAAATTTGGGAGTGAGAGCTTGTAGAACCAAATTAAGGAAAGGGGAATACAACCGGGGGGGGGGGAGTTCCAGAAAGTAGGGAATGAAAGTAAGGTTTTTAAATATCTTCTTTCTTTTACCTTTTTTCTTTGTACTTTTATATTTTTGGAAACTTCAATAAATATGATTTAAAAAAAAAAAAGACAGAAGACACTCAAATTTCTGCTGTAGACCGCCTCCTTCTGTGATGTATGTATGATGTTTTTGGGGGCAGTCTTGAACTACAGGGGAGGCAATTTCAATAGTCTATATAAGGGCTTGCGCACCATTGTTCTGGGTTCCTCCTCCCTCCTGCGTGTGGTGAGTGAGGACCCTGTTGCAACAGTTTAATAAAGATCAGGCTTACTAGCCGCTTTGCTTCTCAATATACTCTGGTTGGCATGGCCGTCTTAAGCATATAATAATAATAATAATAAGAATAATAAGAATAATAATAATATCTTTATTGTCATTGCCCCCTTCGGGGACAACGAAATTACTTGACTGCTCCATAAAAACACTAATTAAACAATACAGTATAATACAGCAAGGGAGATTAGATGACTTTCAAAGTCCGGGCTTCCCATTCAGGGCCGAGATCGCTCTGGAGAAGAAGCTGTTCTTAAGACGGCTCGTTCTTGTCTTCATCGTCCTGTATCTCCCGTCCCGACGGCAAGAGCTCGAAGAGACAGTGACCAGGATGCGATGGATCTTTTACTATGTCCAGTGCCTTCCTATGGCACCTTGTGGCATAAATCTGCTCTAAGGTGGAGAGTGGGCAGCCAACAATGCTCTCTGCTGCCTTAACAACCCTGCACAACCCCATCCTGTCCTGGGTAGTACAGCTTCCGTACCACACACATAAGCCATAAGTGAGCACGCTCTCAATGGCACAGTGATAGAAGGCAAGCAGCAGTTTCTGCGGAAGATGGTTTTTCCTTAGTATTCTCAAAAGTAAAGTCTCTGCTGCGCCTTCTTCACAAGCCCCCTTGTGTTGACACTCCAGGACAGATCCTCTTGTAATTCAATGCCCAAAAATCTGAACGTTGTTACCCTCTCCGGCACCATGGTGCAAAGTTCTCTCTGCTTCCCCCCCCCCCCCCCGTTTCCCAGAGGTTTTTTTAGGGAGGACAGTGCTGCCGGCGGGGCTGGAGGAGGCGTGCAGTGGCTGGAGGGCGGCTCCTCCAGCGGAGAAGAGGTGGAGGCTGGACGTGGCGCCTCCCGGCTCAGCTGGCCGCTTTGTGTCGTGTTGGCAACGGTAGACGGAGGCTCTGGGTGTGACGCTGCTTTGGTGCAGCATGGCGGAGGTGGGCGAGGGCAGTGAGCGGATGCTGGGAGGCGCTGCGTCCAGCCTCAGCCTCTTTCCTGGTGCCCTCCAGGACTTGGCGCCCTGCACCACTAGCCGCTATGGATAAGACGCCCCTGCTGGTTGGCCTCTGTTTTTTTCTCCTTCCGATAGGGAACCTAAAAAAGGACTCCATGTGGGCTCTTGGGTACCCCATAAGGGGAAAAGGAGCAGTTTTTTCTTATAACAATGGGAATCCCAGAGAGGAACTTCATCTGCACCCCTGGAGGTTATGGTGGAATATTCATTCCAGCCTTGGATTTTTAGTTTTTGCAAAGCTATATCAATCATGTTAAGAAAGACCAACACACACACACACACACACACACACACACACACACACGATTGGGTTGGGGCGGGGGAAACAGTCAACATCCCCATAAGAAAACTATGATTTCTTATGTGTCCAGTTCTGGGCACCACAGTTCAAGAAGGACACTGACAAACTGGAACGTGTCCAGAGGAGGGCAACCAAAATGGTCAAAGGCCTGGAAACGATGCCTTATGAGGAACGGCTAAGGGAGCTGGGCATGTTTAGCCTGGAGAAGAGGAGGTTAAGGGGTGATATGATAGCCATGTTCCAATATATAAAAGGATGTCACATAGAGGAGGGAGAAAGGTTGTTTTCTGCTGCTCCAGAGAAGCGGACACGGAGCAATGGATCCAAAGTACAAGAAAGAAGATTCCACCTAAACATTAGGAAGAACTTCCTGACAGTAAGAGCTGTTCGACAGTGGAATTTGCTGCCAAGGAGTGTGGTGGAGTCTCCTTCTTTGGAGGTCTTTAAGCAGAGGCTTGACAACCATATGTCAGGAGTGCTCTGATGGTGTTTCCTGCTTGGCAGGGGGTTGGACTCGATGGCCCTTGTGGTCTCTTCCAACTCTATGATTCTATGATTCTATGATTTTTCCAACGAAGTAAATAAATCAACCTTTCTATTGACAGCATGCCCCTTTTAATATGGTAGTAGTAGTTTAGGATGCCTCTTTGCTAGAGATTAGCAGAGTCTGCAAAAAACATTTTCATAGTGTTTTGATTCATAACTTGGAAAAGGTTTATTGAGGAAGGATTGCCTAAAGCTGCCCTGAGTTCCCTTGGGGGTATAAATGCAAAGAAATACTAATAAAGAACAGTTTCTATGGGGAGAAAACAAAACGTGCCACGGAAGTTCTCATTCTCAAATTGAAAAGCAGGACGTAAATACCTGAAATAAATCTTGTATGCTCTGAAAAAAAGAAAAGAAAGAAAGAAAGAAAGAAAGAAAGACCCCAGTTGGAGCTCCCTAAACATCAGGGCACTAAAAACTAAGGCTAGGGGCCACACAATGTGCAACTGGATTCAAAATGGGTTATCAGGCTAATGGGCTCAAGCTGCAGATGGGTAAGTCTGCAAACTTCCGTTTCGTTTTCTCATTCCATCTAAAATTCACCTCTTCACACTGCCGCCACAGTTTGCGATTATCTTTAAAAGTATTCACAAGCATCTGCCATCATTTAAGCCTGCATTTCTCATTACATGCAAGTCTTTCGGAGTAAATCTGCACACTAGGCAAGCGATCTCTCCAAATAAAATGCATTATTGTATGTTATTGTTGTGAATATATACACATCTTTATGGGGGGGAACGTTCCCCGAATATGCTTCTGTGCATGCTCTGGTTATCTCCTGCTTGGACTACTGCAATGCGCTCTCCGTGGGGCTACCTTTGAAGGTGACCCGGAAACTACAACTAGACCAGAATGCGGCAGCTAGACTGGGGACTGGGAGTGGCTGCCGAGACCACATAACACCGGTCCTGAGAGATCTACATTGGCTCCCAGTATGTTTCTGAGCACAATTTAAGGTGTTGGTGCTGACCTTTAAAGCCCTAAATGGCCTCGGTCCAGTATATCTGAAGGAGCATCTCCAACCCCATCGTTCTGCCCGGACACCTGGGTCCATCTCCAAGGGCCTTCTGGTGGTTCCCTCGCTGAGACAAGCCAAGTTACAGGGAACCAGGCAGAGGGCCTTCTTGGTGGTGGCACCCGCCCTGTGAAACATCCTCCCACCAGATGTCAGGGAAATAAACAGCTACCTGACTTTTAGAAGACTTCTAAAGGCAGCCCTGTTTAGGGAAGCTTTTAATGTTTAATAGATTATTGTATTTTAGTGTTTTGTTGGAAGCCGCCCAGAGTGGCTGGGGAAGCCCAGCCAGATGGGTGGGGTATAAATAAATAAATAAATAAAAATAAAAATAATTTAATTATCTTGGCTGGAGAACTGCCCTGCAAAATTGGGAGAGTGGAAATGTCAAAGGATGGCTGTATCTTGGGGGCTTGTCTTGTCTTGGAAAGCGTGGAACAGGTAGGATCACGTTAAAATGTGAACTGGGCCGAATTTCTCCCTCTTTCCTGTTTGCCAAACAAGAAGCAAAATACAAACGCAATCCAATAACCAAAACAGACAAGCCGAATTTCCTAAGATCAGCTCACATTTCACCAGCCAGAGAAAAACAAACACCTTCTACCTTTTCCTTTGCTTCGCTCGTCTGCTATTGATCCGCACGTCTTGCCTCTTCCCAACTCTGACCGTGTCTTCCAGATGGAATTAAAGGGGCACAGACAGGCCCCTTTAATTCCAATTTCTTGTCTTATAGATCCAAACCTACAGCCACAACTGTTTGGGGCTGCCTTTCTGATCTGTTTTGCTTTCCTGAAAATTGCTTTTCAGAACCTGCTTTGTGCATGAATGCTTCTGGCTCAGAGGAGGCTTTTTTTTCCGTTTTTAGAGAAAAAGAGTGGAGAAAAAGGGTCAGCATTTGCCTCTGTGGGCGGTAGAAAGGAGAGTGCAAGGACACAAGTTAAGATATTCCCTGCAGACAGACTCTCAGTGGAATCTGGCCAGTGGAGAGGTTGCAGAGCATAGCTGGGATATTTTGTTAATAATAATAATAATAATTTTATTATTTATACCCCGTCCATCTGCCTCGAGAAACAACAGAGTGTGATGCCAGGAGTTAAACTGCTAGAGGATCACAGCACCTGCTGTGGCTGCAGAGAACGTTAACTCGCAGCTGCTGTCTCCCATGTTGTTTTTGCTGCAGTTGCAGCACCAAAGTGACTTCCCCAGGGGCGCAAACCTGGGCAGCGTGCATGGAGATCCTGGGCTGCCCAGATGGCAAGACCCCCCTTCCCTCAGCCTGGCTGATGTGTTCCAAAGGAAAGCCGAGCAAGACATTTGGCACCAGCTTGGCTGAAGGAATTGCCGGAAGGAGGAGTACAAGGCACCATCCAACCGCCTTAGGGACTCCACTCCAGATTTCTGTAGGGCAGAGACGTCCAACTCCCGAGACACTGCGATCTACTCATGGAAAAAGAAACTGGCAGTGATCAGGTCAAAGTTGTTGAGCTCTTTTTGTGTAAAATGTTGAGCTTTCTTTTTTTTTTTAAAGCAATTTATTGGATTTTACAATAGAAATAAATGTAACAAACAATATAACATTTGTCTTAACATAATTTCACATTTTCTTTGGACTTCCTCACATCTCCCGCTCCCACCTTCATCATTATAACATTTTGTCAGCAATTTATCATCTTATTTAAATTCTTATGTCTCTTCGATATTTCATGATCTTATAGTTCTCATAAAGAGTTAAACTTTCACAATTTTTCTTATTTTCTTAAAAACTTCTAAGTTAAGTGGTGCTCAGTTATTTAGACAAGCATCTTATTCAGCATTCAATCAAATCACAATGTTTTTGCAGGTAGTTCTTAAATTTCTTCCAATCCTCCTCGATTCTCTCTTCTCCCAGGTCACGGATTCTGCCAGTCATTTCAGCCAGTTGCATATAGTCTATCAGTTGCATCTGCCATTCTTCCAGTGTGGGTAGATCTTGAGTTTTCCAATGTTTTGCGAGTAGTATCCTTGCTGCTGTTGTTGCATACATAAAAAATGTTTGGTCCTTCTTTGCCACCCCTTGGCTGACAATACCCAGAAGGAAAGCCTCTGGTTTCTTAGTGAAGGTATATTTAAATACCTTTTTCAGTTCATTATAAATCATTTCCCAGAACGCCTTCACTTTAGGGCAGGTCCACCAGAGGTGAAAGAACGTTCCTTCACACTCTTTACATTTCCAACACTTGTTATCAGACAGGTGGTAAATTTTTGCAAGTTTGACTGGAAATGTTGAGCTTTCTTTAGGGGAAAAAGGAATAAGTCAATAAGGGAACAGCCTCACAGCGGGGAGATGAAAGATGAAGAGGTAAAATCAGTTCTGATTAAATGGGCACAAGATGTAGGTCATAACATTATGATGGAAGAAAGATTAGAAAAAGTTATGGAAAACATTTAAAATTTACAGATTGTTCCCTGTTGAAGGAGAATTACATGAAGATGATGTACAGATGGTACACGACACCAGTGCAGTTAGGGGAAATGTACAAAACTAGTTCATATGTTGGAAGTGTAAGGAAAAGGAGGGGACATTTTATCATATGTGGTGGGATTGTAATGTAATTTAAAAATTTTGGAAAAGGATATACAACGAATTGAAGAAAATGTTCCATTTAACATTTGTTTAAAAACCTGAAGCATTTTTGTTAGGGATTGTAGGGAAAGACCTTCCCAAAAAGGTGAAAAACATCTTCATGTATGCGACAACGGTCGTGAGAGTTCTAATAGCACAGGGATGGAAGACTGAAGAAACCCCAACTTAAGAATCATGGCAAGAAAAATTGATGTACTATGCAGAACTGGCAAAATTGACATATAAGCTACGGGACAAGGACTTTAAGGATGAATGGGAACCTTTCACAAAGTATCTGAAGACGCAACAAAGCGAACTGGACTCCTTGGCAGGTTTTGAATAAACACTCACAATTTTTTTACTGACAATAATCAGCTAAATCGTTTGAGGATCTATACAACTTTGTAACATGCAGAAAACAGCATTATTGGAGAAACCAAAGACTGGAACTGAGGGAAGTCGGGGGGTGGGGTGGGGGAGGAAAAATTGGGGGGGGGGATAAGGATATGTTTTTTGGATAATATGTTTTGTTATAACTTTGAATAAAAAAAATCAACCCCCCCCCCCCAAAAAAAGATAAAATGTTGAGCTTTCTTTAGGGAGAAAAGGAATGAGTCGCTCTCACCAAAAGAACGATTAGGGAACAAACAGCCTCACAGTGAAAACTACGTATTCCGTTCTAATGATCATGCACTGTTGCAGGAATTTATGTCTAGGTTGGGGGGGGGTTGCCCCTCCAGCAGATATCAAGCACATGCAGCCCACTACCAAAATCAGCACAATCGCTTTTGTGACTTTTGTGACTTGTCCCCACAAAACACTTCATCACAGTTTCTTCCTATCTATTCAAAGGGCTTTCTGGGAAATGATATATAATGAACTGAAAAAGGTATTTAAATATACCTTTCTGAAGAAACCAGAGGCCTTTCTTTTGGGCATTGTCGGCCAACTGGTGCCAAAGAAGGACAGAACTTTTTTTATGTACGCCACAACAGCAGCAAGAATACTCATTGCAAAGTATTGGAAGACACAAGATCTACCCACTTTGGAAGAATGGCAGATGAAGGTGATTGACTACATGGAATTGGCGGAAATGACTGGCAGAATCCGAGACCAGGGAGTCAGTGAAAGAAGACTGGAAGAAATTTAAAGACTATTTACAGAAATATTGCAAAATTAAGGAATTTTAGAAGGATGTTGGATAGAAACTAAGAGGTTTTTAGCTGTAATGCTTTAAGAGATATGAAAAAAAAAAAGGTTAACAATTGGGTAAAAGTTTAATGGTAAGGATTTGCTGATCTAACAAACTGAACTGGAATACAAAGAAGGGAGGTATGAGGAAGTTCGGGGAAATAAGTGTAAGGAAGATAGGCTATGGAAAATTAATGTGTGTTTTTAACTTTTTTATTTTGTATGTTTCTCTTTATTTTTTTTTTACTTTTTTGTTGTATCTTAAAAACTTTATACTTTTTTCTTTATTCTGTATTTTCATGTATTTTTTGAAACTTTAATAAATATATATAATTTTTTTTAAAAAAAGAAAAATCCACACCCCCACACCCCCGCCCTGACTTCACTCAGTTCCCCTCTCTGGTTTTTCCACACATGTTATTCTCTGCATATTATAAAATTGTAAAGATCCTTAATTTATCTCTCTATATGTTACCAATAAAAAGTTTGTGAGTGTTTGTTAAAAAAAAACAAAAAAAAACAAAGGGCCTCTGCTGCACGATACCAAATGTAAGAATTCACTGATCAATGTATTTATGCACTGGCTCACCGGGAAAGCTTCAGAAATTCCTATAGACATGTGAGCTCAGCTACTCAGCAGCCCCTCTGCCTGTGGGATAATTCCTGGCATCCTGATACCTGACTGCCAGGCAGGTAGCCATTCCAGAAATAACAAACCCAGATGAAGACAAAAGGGTGTGATGAACTTGGCTGGGAAACAGGGAAATGCAAATATCTCTTTTGTTACACTTGATGGGTGTTTGGTGGAGGGCAAGGGGAACCATGGGGCAGGGTCCAGGATGCTCAGATTCCTGCCACCAGACCTCCCCTTTCATGATGTAACCGTGATGTATCAGTGATGTAGTTTGGGGGGTTGTAACATGGGGATTAGCAGCTAATAAAAGTTTGGGGGCTCTCTTGTTCGGGGCTTCCACCTTGTTCCACCTGGTGGCAGGTGGGAGTCCTGTTGCGACAGTCTTCAGTAAAGACCAAGCCTACTGGCTGCTGTTTTGCTCTGGTATTCCTGGCTGGTGTCCTTGATGGACCAACAGCCAGACCCGGTATAAAGCAACTTCTTACGATCCTAAGGCAACGTGTCCGAGGAAGGGAGCCTGGACGAATGGGCCCTGTTTAAAGGGTTAAGTAATTAATTAAAACTATCTACAGCTCACCCTTCAACAATAACGGACACAAGGGTGGGGCACATAATTCAAAACCACCACCCTAATTATAAAATAATATTGCTACCTACTTTCAACCCATGTGCCATTCTCTGTGATATGTGCAGGATCTGTGCGTCACCAGTCGGTGGCTGAAGCAAAGCCACGCTGGAGCATCAATGCTGCCCCTCCCACAGGGGCTGATCACTAGGCACACATAACTGCGCACTAATAAATGCTTTCTGCCCATCCAGGGTCCACCAGCCCCTATTTTTTCCAGAAAAGCTCGAGGACGCAGTGTGGTGGAACTGCCACGCTGAGCCACCAGAGGGCAGTCACGAAGCACAAGACGGTTCAGAGTGCGAATCGGCAGATCACACCCAGAAGTCATTCTCACAGCAGGGGCCACAGGGAGAAGCGTTGTGGTCAAAGCCAGCATTGGAAGACTCACACAAATAAACTCAAAAGGTGCTCCCTTCCCTGTTTAGTCGCTTAGTCGTGTCCACCTCTTCATGACCCCCTGGACAAGAGCACGCCAGGCACTCCTGTCTTCCACTGCCTCCCGCAGTTTGGTCAAACTCATGTCCGTAGCTTCAAGAACACTGTCTCACCATCTCGTCCTCTGTCGTCCCCTTCTCCTTGTGCCCTCCCAACATCAGGGTCTTTTCCAGGGAGTCGTCTCTTCTCACGAGGTGGCCAGAGTCTTGGAGCCTCAGCTTCACGATCTGTCCTTCCAGTGAGCACTCAGGGCTGATTTCCTTAAGAATGGATCGGTCTGATCTTCTTGCAGTCCATGGGACTCTCAAGAGTCTCCTCCAGCACCATAAGTCTAAAGCATCCATTCTTCTGCGATCAGCCTTCTTTACGGTCCAGCTCTCACTTCCATACATCATTACTGGGAAAACCAGAGCTTGAACTATACGGACCTTTGTCGGCAAGGTGATGTCTCTGATTTTTAAGATGCTGTCTAGGTTTGTCATTGCTTTTCTCCCAAGAAGCAGGCGTCTTTTAATTTCGTGACTGCTGTCACCATCTGCAGTGATCATGGAGCCCAAGAAAGTAAAATCTCTCACTGCCTCCATTTCTTCCCCTTCTATTTGCTCTCTTCCCTAGAGCAGAACAAACAGAAGCTACCAGGATGAGTTTGACCAAGCTGCGGGAGGCAGTGGAAGACAGGAGTGCCTGGCGTGCTCTGGTCCAGGGGGTCATGTAGAGTCAGACATGACTAAACGACTAAACAACAACAACAACAACAACAACAACAAACTAAGATGGCTCTGCTCTGTCTGCAAAGTTGGAGGCAGCAGTGCTTCTGAAACCCCCTTACTGGAAACCACAGGAGGGGAGAGGTCTGCTTTTGTGTTCACAATCTGTTTGTGGGTTTCCCAGAGGCATCTGACTGGCAGGAGTGAGACAGGATGCTGGGCTGGGTGGGCCCCCATTGGCCTCACCCAGCTACAGGGATGATGTTCCCTTCCCTCTTTTGCTCGCCTGCCATTCGAGAGGAACACATCTCCTCGCCCCAAGACAGCAGGCAAAACAACAGCTACGTCTATCGGCCGCGGAAGCCCAAGAAACGCTGCCCTCTCCAGATTACGGAGACCCAAAAACACGCAGCTCGTTTCCTGCCAGCACAAATCCACAAGGGTAACCTATGTTCTCTGGCAGAGCAGCGTGCCCTAGAAAATGCTTCGGAGAGCCAATCATTCATGAGTAATGCCAGCCTGCCCCAGAGAGGTCGCTTTGCAACGGCAGGCTGACTGGCAATACTGAATGCGCCATTTAGCTCTCTCCCAGACAGGCACATAAAATAGGCAATTTTTGTAGGGATGTTAAAAGCAGGAATGGTTGTGTCACTGGCACATCGTGCTCTCATCCTGCCAGTCTGCTATTTTGGCACAGCTGTTCGGTTCAGGATTGCCAGTGCTTTTGTCCGGGAGGGTTTGGTTATACCTTCAACAGTTGTGTGGCATAAACGTGGCAACAGAGCAGCGAGGCAAGCGAACCCTGCTCAGTTTCCCCCAGCAGCTGCCGCAGGAGCGGTGCCAGAAAATAAAGTTGCTATTATTATTTAATGATTTATCAAATCTGCATACCGCCAAAGACCCGTAGATCTCAGGGCCGTTCGCGACATAAAATTACGATATAGAAAACACAAAAATACATGATAAGAAATAAGAACAGGGACAAACCAACATATATAAAAGGGCACCAGATGTCAACCAGCCAAAGACCTGATTGGAGAGGAGCATTTTTGCCACCCTCCGGACCTATCGTGGAAGAGGCACATGAAGAAGGGCCTCAGAAGATGATCTCAGGGTCCAGGTCGACAATCCTCGGTCAGATTAACAACCCAGAGAGGTTTTTCCTCCCTCTCTCCTAACATGGGAACTCGTGAAGCTGAATGTTGGGAAATTGAGAATGGATAAATTGAAGGACTTCTTCACGCAACACATAACCTATGGAACTCCCTGCCTCAAGAGGGAGTGATGGCCACCAACCTGCATGGCTTTCAAAGAGGACAAATTCATGGAGGAGAAAGCTTTCAATGGCTCTGCTTTGCCTCCAAAGTCAGAGGCAGCCAGTTGCTGGAAAATGCTCGAATCCTTCTTTCAGGTTTCCTGCTTTGGGGCATCTGCCTGGCCACTGTGAGAACAGTAGGCTGGACTAGGTGGGCTCCCTCTGGCCTGATCCAGCAGGACTTTTCTGATATTCTTAACCTTTGTCATTGCACTGCAATAACCGTCTCCTTGCACCCGAGGCAATAGGCTTTGTTTCTGTTAGGATATAGTTCCGTTCCACCTTAAAAGGAACAGGCATGACTGTTGTGTGTCACATGCCTGTTTACTTCCAGCACTGTCTGGCTGGGAACTTCCGTTTGTATATTGCTTTTGCTGTATTGCTGTTTTGCTGGACACGAAGGGAAGCAGACATGTTTTTCCTTTGTTCCTGAACTATGCTGAATAAACGCCTGTAAATAATGCTTACACATGTCTCTGTCCACCACTTCCGTTGTGAGAAGTTACTCACTCTGCTGATTGTTGTTTAACCGTTTAGTCATGTCCGCCTCTTCGTGACCCCCTGGACTAGAGCACTCCAGGCCCTCCTGTCTTCCACTGCCTCCCGCAGTTTGGTCCAACTCATGCTGGTAGCTTCGAGAACACTGTACAACCATATCGTCCTCTCTCATCCCCTTCTCCTTGTGCCCTCCATCTTTCCCAACATCAGGGTCTTTTCCAGGGAGTCTTCTCTTCTCATGAGGCGGCCAAAGTCTTGGAGCCTCAGCTTCATGATCAGAGCGTGCCAATTCTCTATTTGTTTAAAAAATAATATTTTTTTTATTAAGTTTTCCATTTAACAATCCAATCATATCACATTAGTTATTCCAAATTATACCAATACATATCAAATATTTTGCCAAATTATAAATTTTTGTTGGGGGTTCCAACAAAATGCTTCGAGTTCAGTAAGGGTCCAGTCATCTCATATTTCTGCTGCTTTTAGTGTTCACCAGTCCTATCTTTCAATCTTCTTGATGTTATCCTTTTTCTTCTTAAAAGCCTCTGAGTTGTTTCCACAGGCGAGTTAAAGTAAGCAATATTATGTGAACTTTGTAAGGCTCTCCCTTTTTTTTTAAAGCTGGTAAGTCTTTTGTTTGCAATAAATTCTCACACACTGATCCAAAAGTCCTCCTTGAGCGGCAGACGCCATCATTCTCAGTTCCGAATAAATAAAATCTAGGCGTTTGCTCATTAATTTTCCCAGACAGGTTGCATCATAAATTAGGCTTTCCAGGGAAGAATTTGCCAAGTTGAACTTAAAATACAAACCTGATAACAGAGTAGTGGCTTGCCTCCCCTGTGCCTATTAATCTCGCAACAAAGTCTGTCTCATAATGGCGGATCCCGATTAAAAACTGCGTCACAAGAGAGGCTTTTGTTTTCTTTCCAGATCTTTCAAAAAACAAAAGCTTTAGTTGATATTTTTATTTCCACACAGTTTATTTTCGAATCTCACTTGTTATAAGTCATATGACGGTTCTTCTAGGGCGGGGTGTGTGTGTTGTTGTTAAGTAATATCGTAATAAAAAGAAGAAAAAGTCCCCCCCCTTTCTGTTCCATTTCAACATACTGGCATAGATGTTACTCTTTGATGTTATCGTCTGTCCAGTCCATTCCATCACTCTTAACTTCTCAGTGGCAGGCTTAATTAGCAGCTAACATACCCTTTTCTTCGCTTGAAGCATGTGCAATAACTTTTATATCCAATTTTTTATCTTAAGTAATGCAACTAGAGTCGCTCTCAGAAACAGCGTCCGGGAGATCCGAACTCACTTGAGGGCTTTCCGTCCAGTGCCCTCACCCCCTCCTTCTTTCGAAATCGGGGGTGATTGATGGGCAACCACGGACGAGGCTGCATCTTCCCTTCCACTGGGAAGAATTCGGGAAGCTGATTTACTCCCATCATCAGCCCCTAAATTACCTCGTGTGAGCTGGAGAGATGGTATTGTCGGCCATCTTCCAAGGCACCCCTAGCGGCCCCCCAGAGCGTGCCAATTCTCTAAACGTCTCTGAGGCTTGTGTCGCTGAGTGATGCTGTACTGGGAACCGGAGTTCGCCCGACTGCTGGCCGGTGGCTGGAGCCAGCTGGGGGCCTGCCAAATGCCCGCGTCTCCTGGACTCATCCCAACATCCCTGGCAACCCACAAGCCCTGGGCTACGAAGCCTTCCCATTTTGCCTTTCCAAAGCCGAGAGAGACCCCTGCCCGCCATCTGCTGGGCCAAAGGCTTTGGTGTCGGAGCACAAAGTAAAGAAAGCCATGCGCCGGTCAGTGAATGGCACAGGTGTTTGCCAAGGGTGGGTCCTGGAACACTCAGAGCTGACCTGCTGCACAGCAAGGCACCGACAGCGATGAGAAGCACCCATTCCATCTTCCATAAGTGCACCTGACTCAGAGGCCTCGGCTGCTTGCCTTTATTTGCTGAAGAAGGGGGACTTCAAGTCAGCAGGCCTCCCCGACACTTGACGCCAAGTGCACTTGGCACAGTCACTTGTATTCTGACAAGTGGCACCTGGAGAGCTCAGCTGGATAGAGTGTGGTGCCGATAATGGCAAGGTTGCAGGTTCGATCCCCATGTGCGACAGCTGCATAGTCCTGCGTTGCAAGGGGCTGGATGAGATCAGGCACGCCCAACTCTCTAGCGACTGCGATCTGCTCCCAGTATAATAAAACTGGCAGTGATCTACCCTTTGTCATTGCCCATAGTTGTTCAGCTTTTTTGGGGGGGGGGTGTTGTTGTTACCATAGCTGTTCAGCTTTATGGAACAAAATCGATAGCCAAACAGTCCGCTGAACCTCCCCCCTTCCCACCCTCCGATGCTGATGCAGGGAAAACAACCTTGCAAAGCTGCGACGGCAACGGGACATAGCGCCAGGGGCGCGTAGCAATCGCTTTCTTTTTCCCTTTCTCCTTCTGTGATGGAACTCCTACTTGGGGACTTCCCTGGCTTTTTTCTGGCCCATGTAGGACCAGTCTGGATAGTTAGCCTTGGTGAAGACTTGACGTTTTCATCCCCAAACAAGTTTTTGAGTTTCTGCTGAAATGAGGCTGCATTTTAATGTTGTATTTTAATCTTGTTTTTTTAAGTTGTATTTCAATTAATTGTTTTTATATCTGGTGTTAGCCGCCCTGAGCCCGGTCTTGGCTGGGGAGAGCAGGGTATAAATAAAATTTATTATTATTATTATTATTATTATTATTAACCGAGATTCAGAAGCATTGCTATCTGCAACTATGGAGGCAGAGCAGAGCCATCAAAGGTAGTAGCCATTGGTAGCGCTCTTCTCCTCCATGGTTTTGCCTAATGCTTTTCTAATGCCATCTAAGTTGGTGGCTGAAATATACTCGGAGTCGAGAGTGGATTTCATGCTCTTTATTCAGCTCATAGTGGTGAGGAGGAATGAAAGTCCCCTCAAAGTATCTGCTTTATATACATTATTTACACAATGGGCCCCACGTGATTGGCTAATTCTGGGATTCTCCTGTAGGCCAATCAGGTTGCGGATTCACTTCCACATGGAGTTGGATTGGGTGGCTCCTGTGGACCAATCAGACTGCTGCATTCTCAATCCTATTGTTCTAGGACCAATCAGACTGCTGCATTTTGGATCCTATTCAACTCAGTACATAACAGTGGCCATCACTGTCTCCTGTGGCAGAGAGTTCCACTGTTCCACTATGCACTGAGTGGAGGACAAAGGCCACTTTCACAGAGCATTTAACACATGGAGAACGCCGAAGGGCTCAGGGCAAGCGCCAAGGCCAGAGGTCTTCACTGCTTGCTTTGCTGTTCGCGCAGGATCGCCCCCCACTTGGGTCTTTTCAGGCCACCCTCCTTAAATAAGGACACACAGAAATATGGAAGGTTTTGCTGGCAAAAGCTGGTGAGCTTTATTCAAAGCAGTGCAAGGAGATAAGCCAGGAGCAGGAGGGGGAATGGATTTTTAAACAGGCTTTTGTAATTCCTTTAGACTTACATGAATCAGCTTCAGGTTATGAATGAAAATGACCCGCACGAGAGTTCAGGGAACAGACTATCGTCTCAGAGAGGAATGAACAACAAATACAAATGAGGAGAGTGTCCTGAGAGCAAGAAGCCTCATCAAAGAGACGTGGACATTTCTTCATATCGACCAGGGAATCTTTACTTGCTAGCTCAAAAGACTTGCACACCACCTACGGCTGTTCTCCTACAACTGTTCGCCCGCCCACTCCCAGTGGGTACAACAAAACCACACCGTAATTTTAATCAGATTACATTCACAATGAATTACAAAGATACAATTGCAATAAAAACCGTAAATGCTGCCTTCGAATGATGCATTGGAGCACAACACACAGCTGAGAGCCGAACTACATTTTCTAGGAGAGAAGACCCTGTTCCCTGCTGCAAACAGAAGCAAGATGAGAAAGTGTGGGACTCCCAGATCCACAGTGTTATGAGTTTATGGGGCAGGGGGTTAGGCTGAAAGCCTAGGCTCCCTTCTGATTCCTAGAATAAGTCAAGCTAGCTTCCCGGTGAGATGATGGGCCATTAAGAGGAACAAAGGAAGGGGCTCTATGCGAGATGGCAAATGGGGGAAGCCACTGGAAAGACCAAGCCAGAGTTGAGAGCAGAGGGTCTGAAGTGATGTGAGAGAGAAGCGAAGCACCAGGCTGCAAACCAAGACAGACAGAGCCGTGCTTGATTTCTGCTGAAATCCAAGGCTGTGTCCACGAGAGAAGCAAGACCTCCCTGAGGTGTGAATTCTGGGAGCCCTTCCATCATAGCCTCAGGTTGTATACATGTGTAAATAAGCCTAATAATACTAATTTATTATTTGTACCCCACCCATCTGGCTGGGTCTCCCCAGCCACTCTGGGCAACTTCCAACAAAGATTAAAAGTACATTAAAATGTCACACATTGAAAGCTTCCCTAAACAGGGCTGCCTTCAGATGCCTTCTAAATGTCAGGTAGTTGTTTATCTCTTTGACATCTGAAGGGAGGGCGTTCTACAGGGCGGGCGCCACTACCAAGAAGGCCCTCTGCCTGGTTCCCTGTAGCTTTGCTTCTCACAGGGAGGGAACCGCCAGAAGGCCCTCGGAGCTGGACCTCAGTGTCCGGGTAGAATGATGGGGGTGGAGATGCTTGTTCAGGGTTACTGGACCGAGGCCATTTAGGGCTTTAAAGGTCAGCAGCAACACTTTGAATTGTGCTCAGAAACGTACTGGGAGCCAATGTAGGTCTTTCAAGACCGGTGTTATGTGGTCTCAGCAGCCGCTCCCAGTCACCAGTCTAGCTGCCGCATTCTGGATTAGTTGTAGTTTCTGGGTCACCTTCAAAGGTAGCCCCATGTAGAGCGCATTGCAGTAGTCCAAGCAGGAGATAACTATATATCCTACAGTCTCTGCTGTGCCTCATTCCAAAGGAAACACGGACAACTGGACAAGCGCCAGAACCACAGATCCATCACCCTCTGAGCTCAAGGGATTAAATGTGGGGGCATTTGAATGGGGGTGTGTGTGTGTGTGTGTGTGTGTGTGTGTGTGTGTGTGTGTGTGTGTGTGTGTGAATAAAATAAAGTGTCAGAAAGTTTTTCAGGAAAGCCAGCATTGTGTGTTGAGGGAGTTGAGCTAGAACCCATGAACCGGCTCGTTTTAATCTAAAAGGCCACCTACTTAAGATCAAGTAAGGTGGGTTAAAGGTAAAGGGGAACCCTGACCATTAGGTCCAGTCGTGGGCGACTCTGGGGTTGCGGCGCTCATCTCGCTTTACTGGCCGAGGGAGCCAGCGTACAGCTTCCAGGTCATGTGGCCAGCAGGACTAAGCCGCTTCTGGCGAACCAGAGCAACGCACGGAAATGCCGTTTACCTTCCCGCCTGAGCGGTACCTATTTATCTACTTGCACTTTGACGTGCTTTCGAACTGCTAGGTTGGCAGGAGCAGGGACCAAGCAACGGGAGCTCACCCCATCGCAGGGATTCAAACCGCCTACCTTCTGATTGGCAAGTCCTAGGCTCTGTGGTTTAGACCACAGCGACGTCCATTAACACCTTTTAAGCACAAGGCGAGAGGCGGGATTTCTCCGTTTCAGTTCATTGCTTTGGCGAAAGGGGAATCCCATTCTGCTTCAATGATTGTGTGCACAGAACCAAGAGGATGGAGTTATTCTAGGTCGGTGAGCCCAGATCGTGACGCTTGAATAAGTGGCATGAGATGCAGAGGGAAAGGATCTCAGCTCAGGGACAGGACACCTGCTGTACATGCAGAAGGTCCCACAGGGCTTAAGAGAGATTTTGCCCTGCCCGAGACCCTGGAGGCCTGCTGCCTGTCGGAGGAGGTAAGATGTAGCTGAGCTGATGGCCCAGCTCAGAGTAACGTAGCTTCATACAGATGCTTTGGTTGCGATTCCTGCATTGCAGGGGGTTGGACTAGATGGCCCCTGAAGGTCCCTTCCAATTCTACAATTCCATGATTCTGTCAAGGACTGGTTGGATGCAGAGGAACAGTTGGAGGAATCAGCTGGGAAATGATGGGTGGTTAGAGGAAGAAGGAAGAGAAGGCTGGAAGAGGAGGTGTTGGAAGCTGGAGAGGCAACAGGGCTTAGTGAGCTGGGGGAGTCTGTGGCAGACAGAAGTCCGGAATCAGCGGCAGAAGATGAAGCAGAAGAGGGAGGCCGAGAAGCAGAGATGAGTCAGGCTGGTGAAGAGTCGCGGGGGTCTCCCCCTCCTGCTGCGACAGGCTCTCCTTCCCGCTTCTCTCCCAGAACCAGAAGCGGTATGAAGAGGGCGGAGAAGTCAGCTTCACGCAGGCACAGTCTCCGATTGCTTGGGGGGGAACCCTGGAGAGGACAGGGACTTTCAGTCTCGGCAACTGATCCATGGGGCAAGACCTACCAGGGAGGAGCTGCTATAGTCATTAGGCCTGTCACTCAGCCAAGTCAGATCATGTTCTTGCTAATAAAGAGCTAACTCCCACTTGAACAGTGTGATTTCCTGCCAGCTCTCTCCAGACAGATCCTGTGTTCCAGGCTGCACTCCTATGACTCCCTGCCCCTATGCGAATCTTTATGCACTATTTTTTTTTATCAGCCTTCTCTTCTCCTAATTAATCTGCCTCTCTCTCATACACACACTCACACAGGCGCACACATTGCCCCTCCATGGTTTCCAAGACTAAACATCTCTGGGAAGCTCCGGGTTGCTTCATCCACCACTGACGGAAAGCCGCCATTTCTCCGTTGGAGAGATCCAGACCAGGGTTAAGCAGCAACCTCGAGGGAGGACAGGAGATGTGGGGAGAAGGGGAGGGTCTTCCTGGAGATCAGAGGGAAGAATTCAGGGTGGGCGGGAGGGCCGTAGGACGTTTTGCTTTTTGAAAAGAGGTAAGAGGGATCAAGACCTATGGCGAAACGAAGAACAAAATTACATTCCAAACATGGACAACAGCAAAAAATGAAATGGAACAAAACACCCTGCTTCCAAAATGAAAATAGGGACCCCCATCGCTTCCTCCCCACACATGAAAGCCTCTCAAGGAGTTGGCTCCTCCCATGAGAGGTGGCAGGATTCGAACCAGACATTTGCAGGTGTATTAAGCAGTGCCGGGGGGTAAGGAGTGCCTGCTTCCAGCTGATCTCAGCCGGAAGGATCCTTTTGTGAAAGAGGTTCAGTAAGACTACAGGGTTCTGGGCCAGCCCTGACGGGCTTTTGTTGATCTGTTGGTTTGCATTTCTTAGTGCAGAAAGTATGGATCTGATGTGCAGAGATCTTTCTTAATCTAATTGATTCAAGAGGGTTCTGGAAGCTTCTCTGTGTGTAAGAAACAAGCAGGAGGTTTCCTGACGTTTGGGTTATTCCTTCCGAGAAGATGAGTACAGCTGCCTTAAACTGGTCCTGCTATCTCTTCTGTCAAGGACATGCTGACTATAATACAGTCATACCTCATGTTATGTTCGCTTCATGTTACGTTCTTTCAGATTACGTCCCGTAAGTACCGGAAAGGGTTACTTCCGGGTTTCGCCACTCATGCATGCGCAGAAGCACAAAATGTCGTCACGTGCATGCGCAGAAGCGGCGAATTGCAACCCGCGCATGCACAGATACGCCGCTACGGGTTGCGCTCTTTTCATGTTGCGAACAGGCCTCTGGAACGAATCCCTTTCGCAACCACAGGTACCACTGTAGCGAGGCCAGAAGGAGCCCGGGTTTCACTTTCTCTATCTCTCTTCCTTCTGGTGTGGTGTTCTGTACACAGTATGCTTAGTGTCAAGGTTTAGACTTATTATAAGTTATTGTAAGTTTAAGTCTGCTGCAACCGGATTTCTTATGGACAGTGCCAATCCTGAATGTATTGGATTTGTGACCATTATGTTCATTTGCCTTTAGCAGCAGTAAAGCTCTGCTGGATGAAATACAATGGCCTCTGGTCTATTTTTGGGAAATCCTGCAAAGTGCTTAAGTTTTTGCTCTGCTAACTATGCACTGGAGTTTGGCTGTGGATCACTACTGAGTAGAAATTCCATGACGCTGTTTACATCCTCTGAGAAACCTCCGTTTCAGTGGAAGTTAGGTCGTATGTGAACCTAGAACACCCTTTTTTCCCCAAAGGAAATCACCTGAGCTACGCAAAAGGGTTCCCTTATATGAGCGTATGGTGGTAAACAGAGGCCTCCCCAAGCCACCCTGACTCTTGCCCACTAGACTCACAGGTCGAGAGGGTGAGGGTACTTGTCCTTCTCCTTCACGGGGATCACGAAATACGGAACGCGGTGCACCGTCCCGGTCTTGTCCATGTAATGCTCGCGATGCATCTGAGCGAGCTGCAGGTGAAACACCAACAGGTTATGATGATGATGATGATGATGATGATGATTTATTTATACCCCGCCCATCTGGCTGAGTTTACCCAATCAAGTGTTAAAAACAATACAGTGTTAAATATTAAAAACTTCCATGAACAGCCTTCAGATGTCTTTTAAAGATAGGATAGCTGCTTATTTCCTTCACATCTAAAGGGAGGGTGTTCCACAGGGTGGGCGCCACTACCGAGAAGGCCCTCTGCCTGGTTCCCTGTAACCTCACTTCTCGCAAACAGGGAACCGCCAGAAGGCCCTCGGCGCTGGACCTCAGTGTCTGGGCTGAACGATGGAGGTGAAGATGCTCCTTCAGGTAAACAGGACCGAGGCCATTTAGGGCTTTAAAGGTCAACACCAACACTTTGAATTGTGCTCGGAAACGTACTGGGAGCCAATACAGATCTCTCAGAACCAGTGTTATGTGGTCCCGGCAGCCACTCCCAGTCACCAGTCTAGCTGCCACATTCTGGATTAATTGCAGTTTCCGGGTCACCTTCAAAGGTAGCCCCACGTAGAGCGCATTGCAGTAGTCCAAGCGAGAGATAATCAGAGCATGCACCACTCTGGCAAGACAGTCCGCAGGCAGGGAGGGTCTCATTCTGCATACCAGGTGGAGCTGGTAGACAGCCGCCCTGTACCCAGAATTGACCTGGACCTTCATGGACAGCTGTGAGTCCAAAATGACTCCCAGGCTGCGCACCTGGTCCTTCAGGGGCACAGTTACCCTGTTCAGGACCAGGGAATCCCTCACACCCACCCGCCTCCTGTCCCCCCAAAACAGAACTTCTGTCTTGTCAGGATTCAACCTCAAGGGGTATAAGGGTCAGACCACGGGCGAGAGACAGAATTAAGCTGCATCAAGGTACCTGGAGCTGCAACCAGGATAACAATAACAATAATAAAATTTTATTTATACCCTGCCCTCCCCAGCCAAGACTGGGCTCAGGGCGGCTAACACCAAATATAAAAACGACTGATTGAAATACAGCTTAAAAAACATGATTAAAATACAACATTAAAACATTACAATGCAGCCTCATTTCAGTGGAAACTCAATCAAAAACTTTTTTGGGGATAAAAACGTCAAGTCTTCACCAAGGCTGGTCCTACATGGGCCAGAAAAAAGCCAGGGAAGCCCCCAAATAGGAGTTCCATCACAGGAGGAGAAAGGAGAAAAGAAAGAGGGGGAGGGAATCAAATTGATTCCAAGCCAAAGGAATAATTTTGCTTTGGATAATTATTATATTTATTTATATCCAGCCGTTTCCCTAGTCTGGAACTCGTGGCGGCTGACACAGATAAAAGAGAACAAGGGAAAAACATGGAAGAGACCATGATTAAAATGTAATTAAACACTAATAGAATTAAAGTAGTATGAAAAATCCATGAAAGGCAAGACAACAACAACTGAAGCATTGCAGCACTTTCCTCAAAAGCAGCCAGTTCCCAAATTCCTGTCGGAAGGAAACAATCTTCACTTTGCTGGTGAGTCGGTCTATCTTCTCTAGGCAGGGAGTTTCAAAGCTGAGGGCAGCTACCAAAAAGGCTCTGTCCTGCATCTCCCGTTATAGGGAAATACGGCAGGAGGTTTTGTGACACTTCTTGAAATGTATTGTGGGGAACTTTGGGGGACTTTGAAACTTGATGTAACCGTTGTTCTGGACTTTCTGCTTCATCTCACGTGGCAGCTTGAAGTCTCGTTGCAACAAGAAACGATCAGGCCTCCTGTTTTGCTTCCACCCACCAGCTGAAGTCTTTTGCTTGTGTCTACAGATCTTAGAATCATAGAATCATAGAGTTGGAAGAGACCACAAGGGCCATCGAGTCCAACCCCCTGCCAAGCAGGAAACACCACCAGAGCACTCCTGACATATGGTTGTCAAGCCTCTGCTTAAAGACCTCCAAAGAAGGAGACTCCACCACACTCCTTGGCAGCAAATTCCACTGTCGAACAGCTCTTACTGTCAGGAAGTTCTTCCTAATGTTTAGGTGGAATCTTCTTTCTTGTAGTTTGGATCCATTGCTCCGTGTCCGCTTCTCTGGAGCAGCAGAAAACAACCTTTCTCCCTCCTCTATGTGACATCCTTTTCTATATTTGAACATGGCTATCATATCACCCCTTAACCTCCTCTTCTCCAGGCTAAACATGCCCAGCTCCCTTAGCCGTTCCTCATAAGGCATCGTTTCCAGGCCTGAACCTGGATCTGAACCTGGGAAACCTACTGTTCCCACGATTTTCCTTTGTCACCAGCAAGCACCCCTGTGAGGGTGGCAGGACAGGCAGAAGGCCCCCCCCCCCCGAAGATCTCAGAGCCTCGGCGGGTTTGTACGGGGGAATATAATCTTTAAGATAGCCTTGACGGATTGATTTTACGTCCATTTGTGGTCCTCACTATAGCTTTTGGAAAGGAGGGCTGGCTACCGTGGTGGCTGGGGCTGATGGGAGATGTAGTCCTAAACATCTGAACAGCACAGGCATTGGGGAAGGCTGGGTTGGTGCATTGCACTTAAAACCAGGGAAACCCGGGTTCAAATCCCTGCAACGGGAAGCAAAACTCCCTACTGAGTGGCCTTGGGAAATCACTGCTTCCCAGCCGATTCTGCCTCGCGGGATTAAAGAGAGAATTGAAGACAGGTGGAGGCCATTATTATTATTATTATTAATTCTTCTTCTTCTTATTATTCCACCACCCTTCATCCATAGATCTCAGGGTGGTTCACAACATTAAAGTGCAATATAACAAATACAAAATGCATAATAAAAAGAGGAGGAAAAATAAACCAGTGAATGTTGCTTTCTGTTCTTTGGAGGAAAGATGGGATAAAAATCTAGCAGAGACTGCATGGTCCCATTTCCTTGCCCAAGCATTTGCTAATAAGAATAAGAATAAGAATAAGAATTTATTATTTATAACCCACCCACCTGGATGGGTTTCCCCAGCCACTCTGGGTGGCTTCCAACGGAACACTAAAAACAGAATAAAACTTCAAACATTAAAAACTTCCCTGAACAGGGCTGCCTTCAGATGTCTTCTAAAAGTCTGGTTGTTGTTGTTCTCTTTGACATCTGGTGGGAGGGCGTTCCACAGGGCGGGTGCCACCACCGAGAAGGCCCTCTGCCTGGTTCCTTATAACTTGGCTTCTCGCAGCAAGGAAACCGCCAGAAGGCCCTCAGCACTGGACCTCAGTGTCCGGTCTGAACGATGGGGGTGGAGATGCTCCTTCAGGGATACTGGACCGAGTGCTTGACACACTCTCTTGGTTGGGCCATCTGAAGCAATCCCGCACAGCCTGTCATCAGTCCTGCACCGTGGAACAACAGCGCCTTCCTTCCTTTAAGAAGAGCTTGCTGGATCAGGCCCCAGGGGGATCTAGTCCAGCACCCTGTTCTCGCAGTGGCCAGCCAGGTTCCTGCAAAAACCCACATACAGGATCCAAACAGGAGAGCCCTTTCTCTCTCTCTTTTATTAAAATGATATTTATTAAAGTTTCAAAGAAAAAATTACATAGATAAAAAGAAAAGAAGAAAAGAAAGAAATAAAAAAGAAACAATACAGAAAAAAGATAAAAAACACTTTAAAAAACACATTTCATTTCCTTGCTTCCCTGACCTCCTCACACTTCCCTTTTTTGTATTCCAGTTCTATTAGTTAATTCAGCAATTCCTTTCCCTCTTTGTTTTTGTCTTAACCCTTTAACTTAATATATTATAACTTTGGATTCTCACCTGTTAACAATCCATTTTTACATACACCTTTATAACACTGCTGCTAAAACCACTTAACTTCATTCTGACATCATTCTAACATTCGTTAATTTTGCAGTATTTCTGTAGATGGTCTTTAAATTTCTTCCAATCTTCTTCCACCGACTCTTCTCCCTGGTCTAGGATTCTGCCAGTCATTTCCGCCAGTTCCATATAGTCCATCAGGACAGCCCTTTCTCCTCCTGCAATTTCCAGCAACTGCTACTCAGAAGCGTGACTGCCTCTGACTGTGGAGGCAGCGCATAGTCATCATGGCTAACATCCATTGATAGTCCTCTCTTGTATGAATTTGTCTAATCCTCTTTTCTATCCTTCTTTGCTTATTCCAGGCAGCCAGACCCAAGACCGGTGGGCTCCTGAGCGATGCGCCTGTGGTGTGGTCAGCCAGGACACGGGTGGCACAGGGTAGTCTGTCAGCGAGCAGACAGGTGGTCCTCTTTTTAGGCTAGGTGGGCATCAACTAGACAGCAAGGTTTGCTTCCTTTCTGCTCCCCCATCTTTTCCCGCAGGCAAAGCCAGCTTTGCATAATCCGCCGCGTCACGGACAAATGAGATAGTCCGTTAAAACACAAGAGCATGCAGATGCACTAAAAATCAAAGGAAAAACCAGATGTTTTCTGATTTGCTCTAAGAAAGGGGGGAAAGGCTGCTGGCAACAACACCCTCTGTGGTCTTTTGAAGCTTCCTTTGCAATTGAGAATTTGGCTTCAGCAGACAGAAATGAGCCCTGCTGCTGAGGTGTTAGGGGGCATTCTGGTGGCTGTGAATTTGTGGAAAAAACCTGCTGGCACCCGACCGAGCTGTTAGGGAGTGTGTGAGAGAAAGAGAAGGAAGCAGCACTGCATTTCAGGTGGATGGAGTAAATGGATTTGTGCACACAAGGGAGGGAAATGTGAAGCAGGTGAGCGACTGAAGCAGAATAGGAAATGCGCAGTTGCACGCCACCCCAGGCTCCGAGCGGAGTGAGATTCCAGGAGCTTGTGATTCCTTTTGGAATGAGGCGCAGCGGAGACTTTGGTGCCTTTAAGATCTATGGTTTATTTGCACATAACTACAACCTGAGAAGGCTCTTGAGAGTCCCATGGACTGCAAGAAGATCAAACCTCTCCATTCTGAAGGAAATCAGCCCTGAGTGCTCACTGGAAGGACAGATCCTGAAGCTGAGGCTCCAATACAGTGGTATCTCAGGTTACATACGCTTCAGGTTACAGACTCCGCTAACCCAGAAATAGTGCTTCAGGTTAAGAACTTTGCTTCAGGATGAGAACAGAAATCGTGCAGCAGCGGCGCAGCAGCAGCAGGAGGCCCCATTAGGTAAAGTGGTGCTTCAGGTTCAGAACAGTTTCAGGTTAAGAACGGACCTCCGGAACGAATTAAGTACTTAACCTGAGGTACCACTGTACTCTGGCCACCTCATGAGAAGAGAAGACTCCCTGGAAAATACCCTGATGCTGGGAAAGATGGAGGGCACAAGGAGAAGGGGACGGCAGAGGACGAGATGGTTGGACAGTGTTCTCGAAGCTGCCAGCATGAGTTTGACCAAACTGCAGGAGGCAGTGGAAGACGGGAGGGCCTGGCGTGCTCTGGTCCAGCGGGTCACGAAGAGGCGGACACGATTAACAACTAAACAACAACAACAACCTGAGCCTACGATGGAGGGGCTCACAGCATTAACACTGCAAAAGGGTCTTGTTTCTCTCATAGCTGAGGCCTTGGATTCAAACGTTACTCTGACACTATAATAAAATAATAATAATAATAATAATAATAATAATAATAATAATAATAATTTATACCCCGCCCATCTGGCTGGGCTTCCCCAGTCACTCTGGGCGGCTTCCAACAAAATATTAAAATACAGTAATGCATCAAACATTAAAAGCTTCCCTAAACAGGGCTGCCTTCAGATGTCTTCTAAAAGTCTGGTAGTTGTTCTTCTCTTTGACATGTGTTGGGAGGGTGCCACCACCAAAAAGGCCCTCTGCCCGATTCCCTGTAACTTGGCTTCTCGCAGTGAGGGAACCGCCAGAAGGGTCTCGGCACTGGACTTCAGTGTCCGGGCAGAACGATGGGGGTAGAGACGCTCCTTCAGATATACTGGACACTCTCTCCAACTTGCTGTTTCCGCCTCACCACTGCAACTCTGAACCCTGGCTTTGTCCTTCTAACTAACTGCAAGTGGCCACCCCTTTGCTGTCTCGCACAGAGCCCCTTTCCTTTGTTCCCCTTAATGGCCCATCACCCAGGCAATCACCTCATCAGGAAGCTGGCCTGGCTCAGCATACAGCCTGCCTCCCCCCTTCAAACTCCTAACAGTACACCGGGATGGCCCTATATATCAGAAAGGCAAAACGGACATGGGAATTTTCAATGTCCACCACCTGTAATTCTGCAAAAAAAAGGGTTGGGGGGGTTAAGGGGAAAGGGGAGGGGGCACCCTTGAAAAGCATGTCTCGGCTACAAAGGATAGATATGCTCCTGAAGGTAATGGGGCCCTTTGTATGTCCAGCTGTCCTTTGTCAATAACAAATTGCCACTGTTTTTGTGTTGAAGTAGCTCTGGGATAAGTATTTTCGGGTTGCGCGCTGCAGCGACCCGGAAGAAACGGAGTGCATTACTTCCGGGTTTCGCCGCTCGCGCAGGCGCAGGCGCTCCAAATGACGTCACACGCATGTGCGGAAGCGGCGAAAAGCAACCCACGCATGCGCAGACGCGGGTTGCATTCACTTCTGGATGCGAACGGGACTCCGGAACCAGAGGTATTACTGTATGCTATATGGTAATTTATGGACCTAATAGTTATCTAAAGCCACTTGCACATAACAAAATATGTATTTTATCAAAGTAATTGTTGTACTTATCTTGTATTTTGGAAATGCACATCTAGGTGTTTTTTTCCCTTTAATATTTTTTTTGGGGGGGGGGCCAAGAAAGTGGGGCCCTAAGCTATAGCTTGTTTAGCTTATACGTAAATTTGGCACTGGGTGATTGGCAGAAGGAGATACAGCCTGCAAGGAAAGTACCCCTACCTACTCCAGTCAAAATCACCACTTTCCAAGGCCCCATTTAATTGTTCATCCCAGATGCTGAGCAGGAGGAGAGACCATCACTCCCAAACTGTGCAATGAGGTCGTTGTGACATCAGGTGACTGACAGGCAGGCCGCCCACCTATCAAACTCGGAATTATAGAGTGGAAATAAGGTTCTGGCCCAGCCTGGCTGGATCCACTTCCCCACCTACCTATCCAGACCAGCTCCGACAAATAAAAGGAGGATCTGAATAAATAGTGTCTGTTCTCAGCTCATTAATTCTGGCTGCCCACTCTTCATTATTTATAGCTTGCGTAACTGCCGTGGACTTGCTTAACGCTGGGGAAAGGAGAAAGAGACTCTGCTCCGGGTTCGAGAGACAGAGATAATGAACTTGAGCTTGGCACGGCAGAGAGGGAGGGAGGGGTGTCTGGCTCCTGGATTCCAGAAGGCGGCACGATCCACCACCAGACTTTCCACAAATCCACCAGGACCACCCACACGCCCTCGCGCTCGCTGCACAGCCAAGACGCAGCCCTTCTGTTGCTGCTGATTCCTTTGCAAACATGAAACGACAAGGAGCTACAAGCAAGAGAGAGGGCTCAGCGGGACTTCTTTTTGGGTTGCGTTTCTCTAGCCACAGGTGTGCGCTTTAAAGTACTTTTTTTTTAAATGCCCCCGTGTTTTCCCTATGAAAACCCACTCTTCGCTGCTGAATTAGAGCAAACAGCAACCTGCAGAAAATTCCGAAGTGCTGCTTGTTTCGGTGCAGCGTTAAAGAATGGGTTTTTGCGGGGAGGGTGCCGGGGCAAAAACACACACAAACAAGCGGTTGGAGACAGATCTTTAAAGCGCAGACATGTGCCTAGAAAGCGCAGGGCAAAAGTGTGGATGAGCCCATAGTCAGGGAGGGTGGCTTGTTGGCCTCCAGGGGGTGCCAATGGCAAAGAGGATGCTGGCCTGGGTGGCTCCTGGGCCTGATCCAGCGGGGCTCTTCTTGCGTTCTTATAGAATCATAGAATCATAGAATCATAGAGCTGGAAGAGACCACAAGGGCCATCGAGTCCAACCCCCTGCCAAGCAGGAAACACCATCAGAGCACTCCTGACGTATGGTTGTCAAGCCTCTGCTTAAAGACCTCCAAAGAAGGAGACTCCACCACACTCCTTGGCAGCAAATTCCACTGTCGAACAGCTCTTACTGTCAGGAAGTTCTTCCTAATGTTTAGGTGGAATCTTCTTTCTTGTAGTTTGGATCCATTGCTCCGTGTCCGCTTCTCTGCAGCAGCCGAAAACAACCTTTCTCCCTCCTCTATGTGACATCCTTTTATATATTTGAACATGGCTATCATATCACCCCTTAACCTCCTCTTCTCCAGGCTAAACATGCCCAGCTCTCTTAGCCGTTCCTCATAAGGCATCGTTTCCAGGCCTTTGACCATTTTGGTTGCCCTCCTCTGGACATGTTCCAGTTTGTCAGTGTCCTTCTTGAACTGTGGTGCCCAGAACTGGACACAGTACTCCAGGTGAGGTCTGACCAGAGCAGAATACAGTGGCACTATTACTTCCCTTGATCTAGATGCTATACTCCTATTGATGAGGCCCAGAATTGCATTGGCTTTTTTAGCTGCCACGTCACACTGTTGGCTCATGTCAAGTTTGTGGTCAACCAAGACTCCTAGATCCTTTTCACATGTACTGCTCTCAAGCCAGGTGTCACCCACCTGTTTGGGCTCTTCTTCCCCAGTTTCGCTCACCTTCCACCTTTCCCCCCCTCCAGGTATCGCGGCCATATCCCCAACGTGGCCTTTTCCTTTGGGGATTCTTAAGTGATCCGAGTGGATCAGCTGGTCACGCCGTTTGCAAAGTGAGTTTGCAGGGGACCCTGGGTAGAAATCCCTCGGAATCTTATCAGGGGTTCCATAATAATAATAATAATAATAATATTTATACCCCGCCCTTCCCGGTTCAGAAAACCGGGCTCACGGTGGCTAACAACAAATTTAAAACACTTAATTGATGCAACAAAAAGCAGCTTAAAATGCAGTATAAAACGTGAATAAATCCATGGAGATATCTGATCGGCACAGCCAATCTTCCCCAAATGAGGACCTGCCTGCCACAGGCAATGTTCCCTGCAAGAGTGTGGGGTGTATTCCAGGGCACAGTCTCAGTTCACTGCGGGTGAAACGGGAGGGCAAAAGGCCTGGCCCAGGGGTCTGCAACCTTTAAGACAAAAAGAGCCACTTGGACCCGTTTAAGAGAAACTGGAAATTTGGTCATTATAAGAGGTAAAATTTTAATGCTACTATTATATTAAGATTAAAGATTGGGATTAAATACCTCGTAGAAATAAATTGCATGGACAAGTTACAATTTGTGTACGTGTGTAATCTTCACCCTTAAAAGAGGGAGGTATGAGGCCAGGTCCAGAAAATAACGTAAATGCCTTACAATAAGCGAAAGTGCAGAAAGGTGATATTGTTTGTAACTGTGTTTGTTTCTTATTTTCTGCTTTCATGTGATGTCTTGCTAGTTTAGTGATTCTTCTGTGGATTATGTATTGTATGCTCCTCTGCTGTACTTCGCTTCTGAGTGTTGTTCTGTGTTAGATCTATTGTAGCTCGAAATTGTTAATAAAACTCATGGTCTGAACAATCAACCACATAACCAAGAACCAGAATCCTCTGTGACAAGCAGAGCATGAGACTCTGAATCTCGGGGCTGTGGGTTTGAGTCCCACGCTGGGCAAAAGATTCCCCCCCAACCCTACAATGCTATGGTTTCCGGTGTGGGTTCAATGGCCACATGGGGTGACGGCGGGTCCAGACCTCCTGCCTTACCTTGTAGAACTCCTTCAGTTCCGCTGTGCGGTTGATATCCAAATTGAAGCGAGTGTAGTTGGGGGTGTGCAGCCAGCGGTCCCACCCCCTGGCCCTCGCCCCAATCACCAGGCCGGGGTCAGGAGAGAAGAGGGTGGGGAACTGGCCCCCTTTGCTGTAGGGCCCGCCGCAGGTTTCCATGGCGGCACTTCGGAAATCTTGGAAGTACTTCATGGTGGTGTTGCCATAGGTATCCCCAAAGGAAAAGGCCACGTTGGGGATATGGCCGCGATACCTGGAGGGGGGGAAAGGTGGAAGGTGAGCGAAACTGGGGAAGAAGAGCCCAAACAATTGCCATTATCTTTTTTTGGAAAAATCACTCCCCCAGCTCTCCTAGTAAGTGCAGCACTTTGCAATCACCGCCACAACAATCACAAGTAATGATGCAGAATCGAAAGAAAGCGCCGCTTCCAGTGCGGCAATCGGATCAATGCCATAACAGACAATTTCTATGCCTGGGGAAAGGATCTTTCTCCCTAAGGAAGGGGCAACGAGGGGCAAACTAAGAACGGCTGGGCACCCAGAAGGGACTGTTGCCGATATTCCAAATGGCTGAACTCCTCAAAAGATACTGTTTTTTTGAAAATATGTACGTTATTGTGCCTGTCTGATATCAAGTGTCAGGGAGTTCCAAAGTTCCTGTGCTGCCACATTAAGGGACCCCAGAGCTGGGCGGGATCCCCAGAGGTAATCCAGCCCAACCCCGACTACAATGCGGACTAAACAAGGATGTGCCAAAGCGCAGCCAAGGTGCCTGCCTGATATCAAGTGGCAGGGAGTTCCAAAGTTCCTGTGCTGCCACACTAAGGAACCACAAGGCTGGGCGGGACCCTCAGAGGTCATCCAGCCAACCCTCTAACTGCAATGCAGAATAAACAATGATGTTTTGAAGCTCAGCAAAGGTGCCTGCCTGAGCCCAGAGCTGGGCGGGACCCCCAGAGGTCATCCAGTCCAGCCCCGACTGCGATGCAGAATAAACAATGATGTTTTGAAGCTCAGCAAAGGTGCCTGCCTAATATGAAGCGGCAGGGAGTTCCAAGGTTCCTGTGCTGCCACACTAAGGGACCTCAGAGCTGGGCGGGACCCCCAGAGGTCATCCAGCCCAACCACGACTGCAATGCGGACTAAACACGGATGTTCTGAAGCGCAGCGAAGGTGCCTGCCTGATATCAAGTGGCAGGGAGTTCCAAAGTTCCTGTGCTGCCACACTAAGGACCCCCAGGGACCCTCAGAGGTCATCCAGCCCAGCCCCCCGACTGCAATGCGGACTAAATAAGGATGTCCTGAAGCGCAGCGAAGGTGCCTGCCTAATATCAAGCGGCAGGGAGTTCCAAGGTTCCTGTGCTACCACACTAAGGGGACCCTCAGAGCTGCGTGGGACCCCCAGAGGTCCCTCATCAGCCCAACCCCCCTCCCTGCAATGAGGACTAAACAAGGAGGGAGTTCCAAGGTTCCTGTGCTACCACACTAAGGGACCTCAGAGCTGGGTGGGACCCCCAGAGGTCATCCAGCCCAACCCCCTCCCTGCAATGAGGACTAAACAAGGATGTGCTGAAGTGCAGCGAAGGTGCCTGCCTGAAATCAAGTGGCAGGGAGTTCCAAAGTTCCTGTGCTGCCACATTAAGGGACCTCAGAGCTGGGTGGGACCCCCAGAGGTCATCCAGCCCAACCCCCTGCCTGCAATGCAGACTAAACAAGGATGTACCAAAGCACAGCGAAGGTGCCTGCCTGATATCAAGTGGCAGGGAGTTCCAGAGTTCCTGTGCTGCCACACTAAGGACCCCCAGGGACCCCCAGAGGTCATCCAGCCCAACCCCGACTGCAATGCGGACTAAACAAGGATGTGCTTAAGCACAGCGAAGGTGCCTGCCTGATATCAAGTGGCAGGGAGTTCCAGAGTTCCTGTGCTGCCACACTAAGGAACCTCGGAGCTGGGTGGGACCCCCAGAGGTCATCCAGCCCAACCCCGACTGCAATGCGGACTAAACAAGGATGGGCTTAAGCACAGCGAAGGTACCTGCCTGATATCAAGTGGCAGGGAGTTCCAGAGTTCCTGTGCTGCCACACTAAGGGACCTCAGAGCTGGGCGGGATCCCCAGAGGTCATCCAGCCCAACCCCCTGCCTGCAATGCAGACTAAACAAGGATGTACCAAAGCACAGCGAAGGTGCCTGCCTGATATCAAGTGGCAGGGAGTTCCAAAGCTCCTGTGCTGCCACACTAAGGACCTCCAGGGACCCCCAGAGGTCATCCAGCCCAGCCCCCCAACTGCAATGAGGACTAAATAAGGATGTCCTGAAGCGCAGCGAAGGTGCCTGCCTAATATCAAGTGGCAGGGAGTTCCAGAGTTCCTGTGCTGCCACACTAAGGGACCTCAGAGCTGGGTGGGACCCCCAGAGGTCATCCAGCCCAACCCCTTGACTGCAATGTGGGCGCCAAAGCCTTTTTCCCTTTCCTTTTCTTTCCCCGAAGAAGCAAGCCATAAAAAAGCCCTTTTTCTTTCTCTCTATCCGCCCCCCCCATTCTCTCCGCCCCCCCACCCCTTCCCCAAATGGCGCCCCCCCCAGCGACCCACCCGGGCATGAGCCCCGGCGGCACGTAGGCCGCGTTGTACTGGGTCAGGAGGGTCCCGGCGCTGCGCGAAGCCATGGCCGCGCTGCTCCTTCGTCGGCCGGGCAGGGAAGCGGGGAGGCAGGCGAGGCGCCCAGGCGAGGCCGAGGCTTCAGGGAGGGCCGTAGGCCGCGGCGGTCACAAACCCGTCGCCATGGCAACGGGGAGGGAGGGAGGGGCGGGAGGCCGGGGAGCCGCGCAGGCGCAGAAGGGAGAGAAATGCGCTCAAGAGTCACAGCTGCTGTTTCCCAATGAGGAGAATATTATTATTATTATTATTATTATTATTATTATTATTATTATCAGGTAGTTGTTTATTGTTTGTAAGCCAGTTTGGGATTCATCTGAATGAAAAGCAGCACAGAATAACAATAAATCAAATCAATATTATTATTATTATTATTATTATTATTATTATTATTATTGCTGTATTTGTGATATTCTATTATGGTTTATCACGTTGCTATTTATTGTTTGTAAGCCAATTGGGATTCATCTGAATGAAAAGCAACAAAGAAATACAATAAATCAAATCAAAATTATTATTATTATTATTATTATTATTGCTGTATGTGTGATACATTATAGTTTATCTCGTATTTATTGTTTGTTTGTAAGCCAATTTGGGATTCATTTGAATGAAAAGCAACACAGAAATACAATAAATCAAATCAAAATTATTATTATTATTGCTGTATTTGTGATATTCTATTATGGTTTATCACATTGTTATTTCTTGTTTGTAAGGCAATTTGGGATTCATCTGAATGAAAAGCAACACAGGAATACAATAAATCAAGTCAAAACAAAATTATTATTATTATTGGCATTTCTTCATTCGCAATAAAGTATACAGCAAATAATACTAACTGCATTTTTAAAATGTAATTTCTACATTCTCAATAAAGGATGCCAATAGCACCGATTATTTGCTGCATTTCAAAATTACTTCATTTCATTTATATATTCGTAGCAATGCTGCCGAAAGCAACAACTGTTATCTATTGCATTCCTTTATTATTATTTTTAACTTTATTGACATATTTGCCATACAGAGGCCAAAGCAACAACATTTGTTTGTTGGTTTGTGTATTTATTTTACACATTCATATTAAAGCATAACCAGGTACTGTATTTTGAACGGTTGCTATCAATAACTAGTGTAAAATGAAAATTTGAAAAACAATCCTTTAACTGCAACGAAGGGTGCAGCTAGCATATATTTTTTAAAAAAATAATAATAATTAAAATAGGGGAAGTCCAGGGGAGAAGGGGGGAAATATAGAAAATTGTTAGAGAAATATTGTTAGAGGATGTATACATGGTAAAAGCAATAAAAAGTATTTAAAAATAATAATAATTAAAATAGCGCACTCAGAGCATGATCCTCAATCTCAGGGTCTTGAGTTCGAGTCTTGAGATAAAATGTCAAAGGAGATTTTAATGACAGGATTAGCACCTTGCGGGGTTTTTTTAGGGGGAAATTGGCAAAATATCTGGGTTTTGGGGCGGTTTTCTATCACAGTGATGAAATGCTTTCATTAACTCCCTTAAAAATAGCTTAATAGAGGAGTTTGGCGAAGTCTCTGCGTACAAGACGAACCTGAGAAATCCCGAAATTGTGGGAATAAATTAGAGCAAATTTGATGAAAGCAAGTGGAATGAATTGGACAGTTAAGCCAATGAAATATCTAGGAATCTGGTTGTCGTCAAACACAGAAGAGCTGTTTAAATTAAATTATGAACCGGTGATGGTTGCAATGGGGAAATAATTGTTTTAAAAATGGTCCCAAATTAGACTCTCTTGGGTAGTATTGAACAGGCAAAAACTACTTGCAAACTTTATGTGGAATGCATAAAAAAAGCTGTTCCCATGGCAACCTTGGGGAAAAGCTACAATGGAAAAAAATTTCTGAACATAACATATAATCATAAAGCTACACATGTAGAAGTAATAACCCAATGGCTGAATTTCTCACAGGTACTGTATATATGAGAGAGCTGTGTTAAAATCCCGCAAGCAATTATTCCATGGTACAGTAAAAAGAGAAAGGACAATGGATTTTTATTTTATTTTTTTCAAAATGTAACCCTTGTATAGATGGAATCCTAGATGTGTGGAACAGCTGACAGGTGTTTTTAACCCCTAGGATATATTCGCATGCATTTCTAAAAAGCAATTTTAAGATTGCAGGCCAAATAGGATAAACAATAAAGAAAGAAATTGCAAATAACTGTCGTTGCAAAACCATGACAGGAAGGGGTCCAATCCTGCAAAGGTTTCAATACAGAGAACTGAGAAGTTATATAGAATATGATATAAAGAGAGGGCCACTATCATGTTTCGAAGAAATATCCAAAGAGGGATTCTATCCAAAATATATGTTTTCCTGGATGCTCTGAAATCACATTTGGGCTCACGCTTTAAGAGAAAATGGGTAAAAAATAATACACAGACCAATTTCTGAACAAAAATAAAGAACTTTTTTAAAACTCAGGAACCGACCTAATCTCTTTGTGTCGACATTCGTGAAAATAATTACAAACTGCTCTGGAAATTCCTGCATTTCAGGGGGTTGGACTAGATGACCCTTGGGTCCCTTTTATAGTTCTACGATTCTATAGTACACGATTCCGCAAAGACTGAGTAAAATTGACATTGCCTCTGACGGAAAATGATGGCGATACGGCTGTTGGAAGGCGGATATGGGACAGAGACAGTGGACCTGTCCGATCATTTAATAATAATAATAATAATAATAATAATAATAATAATAATAATGTATTATTTGTACCCCAGCTACTCTGGGTGGCTTCCAAAAAAGCTTCCCTAAACACGGCTGCCTTCAGATTAAAATCTTTTGGGGAGAGGCAGCAAAGATAATATCAATAATATGCATCTATTCCTTTCTGGCACATCACTCACTTTGGGGAGTTGATTTCCCAGTGTGATAAATCCATACGATTTTTTTGCAAGGAGTTTCATACCAATCAGTCCTCCTTGCCTTTGTCGTTACTTATTCAGGGTTTTTAAAATTTGCCAAAAAATCTCCGGTTATACTTTCTGGATGAAACCTAGATATAACTGGGGGCTGAAGACTTGCTTTCCTCTTCTCTTCTCCTGCCCTTCTCAGCAATATATCACAGCTATACAGTGGTGACTTGGTTCTCAAATGCCTTGGTTCTGAAACACCGAAAACCCAGAAGTGTTGCGGTTTTTGGACGTTTTTCGGAAGCCGAACATCCGATGGGGCTGTCGACTATTGTTTCTGGGGTGCCTGCACCAATCAGAAGCCGTGCCTTGGTTTTCGAACATTTTGGAAGTCAAACGGACTTCCAGAACAGATTAAGTTCGAGAACCAAGGTACCACTGTATTTGGCGCTTTTGGTTTTGCTATTTATTTTGAGACTTTTTTGGTTAATTTGTTTTTGTGACCGTGTGGAACCCAGTTCAGCTAACTGGTTGATTGTGTGACTGTGGAAATGGATAAAAGTCCCCCCTTTAAACAATGACGGTCATCAGAGCAAGTAAGGAAAGAAATTATTTTTAATTTTCATCATCTACAATACTGCCTTATTTATTTTATAGTACAGTACATTGATTATTGCCTTCATTTTATGGATCAATGGTCTCGTTAGAGAGTAAAATTCATGTTAAATTGCTATTTTAGGGGTTGTTTTTAAAAGTCTGGAACTGATTAATCTGTTTTGCATTACTTTCTATGGGAAAGCACGCCTTGGTTTTAGAACGCTTTGGTTTTGGAACGGACTTCTGGAACGGATTAAGTTTGGTAACCAAGTAGTAAAAATGAGAGTCATCATAGTGTCCTCTTTTTTACTCTTCAAAATATGGCAACCCTAGTTAATCCTAATTTGCTTCCGCAAATTTACAGAGAGGCAATACAACAGCCACTGCTTGTTCTGAAGCATTTATTCCAATTTGTTTCTGGGGAGATTATGCAATGCCTCTGCAAGCAATTTCCCAGTGCATTTCTTCTTATCACACACACAAAAAGAGTTTTTTTGGGGGGGGGATTGCATTTGATACTCATGAGTGCCAAACCCACCTTAACCACCCACTTGAATTTGCCAGTATGCTATTGAATCCCAAACAGGAAATAGACCAGAAGGAGCTACTCTCCGGCCCTTCCCAGCTGTCGACGGCTCCCAGAATTCACCCAAACTGCCTCCTCGTTTTCCAACACAAACATTCAGAAATAAGTGTGTGTGGTCAGAGAGCATTGGTAACCTATGGAACTCATTCCCACTGGAGGCAGTGGGGGCCTCCAAGCTAGATGTGTAAATGAAGCCATATATCCAAAAGACCCCCACAGTCTCCGCTGACCTTCTCTGCAGTGGCTCCCCGTCTATGGAATCCTCTCCAAAGGGACGTTTGCCTGGCGCCTTCATTACACGCTTTTAGGTGCCAGGCAAAAACGTTCCTTTTTTTCCGACGCAAAACGAATGGCAGACGAAATTAATGGACAACGCAGAATTGGACAAAACGACAGGAAGGATTCAAAACCTGCAGGAACAGAGATTTACAGAAGATTGGAAGAAGTACATGAATTCTTTGAAGAGCAACTGTAACCAACAAATTACGCTAGTAGGACTATAAGAAGTTTTGTAAGGAGAAATATATGAAGTGTTACAAAGTAGAAAAAGATAGAGATATTGGTTATGAGTTTGAAACGTAGTAGGGAAGGTAAGAAATGCATACTGAGAGATTAGATTGGAAAATTTTCAGACAGGATTGATGGAAGTCAAAAAATTGAATAAGTTGTAAAAGTATGTTTAATTACTGTTGAAAATGGTATGTTAAAAAACTAATAAAAATTTATATATATATTTAAAAAAACACGTTCCTTTTTAAACTAGGCCTTTAGTTGATCTTATTGACATCCGACACCCTTTTAGAACGTAGTTCTTTTGGTGCGTGTGTGTTTTATTGGGTTATTGTTTTTGGTTTGATCTCACACATTTTTTGTTTGATTTTATACGTCGTGTTCTTGTTTGTTAACTGCCCTGAGACTTCCGGGTATAGGGTGGTGTATAAATTGAATCAATCAATCAATCAATCATCATCATTCCAAGGAAACTGAACTTGGGAAAGGGCCTGGAACCTCTGGAATC